CCTTTTTCACGCCTTACATTTGTCCATGTTTGCCTCTTGCATAATTGTAGCTTATTTTTTTTCATGATGTGATACAATTTTAGTTTGATAAAATGCCTATTGTTCCTTTTCTTAGCTGTCCTTTCTATAGATTGCTCCAGGAACCAAAATGAGTTTGCAACTACTCTCAGCAGCGCCTTGCTCTGTGACAAGTCAGACGGCTCCGAAATACTTCATGATAAGGTTGAAGAGGCATGAAAGGAAAAAGAAAAATGTGGTGAGTGATTTCTGCCTTTGCTTTGGTACCCACGTAGTGAGTGGAGTCCCATGGCTGCCTGGCTGGTGCCCTGCCATCACCCACATTGAGCTGCTGTCCCTGGGCATGGGGCAGGCTCCGGGTGAGCGTGGGGCCAGCTCTCCCGTGTGTCCCCTTCCTCCACTAAAAAGGGTAGTTTTCAGCCTCTCTGGCCTACTTAATCCTTCCCCTGCTGGGATTGCCAAAACCAAGGCTATCACTGTGCCAGTTCCTGTGGTTTTGTGGGGTTTTTGATCATATATTCCTCCTCTGGAGATTGTAGCTGGTGAAATTTTATTTCCCGAGTCCTGTAGCTTTTATTCAATCTTATTTGGAACAAAGAAAAAAATCCACCCCTCAGGGTTGGAGAGAAAAGCTTAGGAAAACAAACCCTAAATGGCCTGGCATTCAGACCAATAAAAAGAGCCTGGCATCAGTTGTCATGTAAATAACAAGCTTTTAAAACAAATATTGCTGCATTCCAACAGTGCTGAAAACTTCTGTTTGTTACATCTGGTTCTCCAGCAGCCGGGATGCCTGGGACCGGGACCTGGCGCCAGCCTTTCCCAGCCTTCGCAGCACCAGCCCCATCCTCTTCCTCCTCCGGTTTGGAGATTCTGAAACAACTTTTGACTGTTGAGAGCGACACGGCTGGGGCTCTGAAGACGATGTTGAGAGCGACACGGCTGGGGCTCTGAAGGCGAGCTGGATGCCTCTCGGCTCTGAAGGAATTTTATGGAAAGCAGTTCCCCACTTTTTACATGGTAAGAGGATGCTTTGGCACATGGGTCTCGCAGCTGTGATTTCTCATTTACCTTTGCACACCAGGGATACGTGCACTGCCAGGCTGGTGGTGACACAATGACTTTGGCAGCGATATGCTGAGCTTAATTATGGCATATTATCCAAAAGATGCTAATATAAGTGTAACCAAAGTGCTGTGGGTCACTTTTCCTGGAGTGTGTGTCAGGCACGCTGGGGGTTAAGTGCGGTGAAGGCTGGTTTCGTGCCCAGAGCTGGCTTATTTTTGTAACACAGTACTTTTCAGTAAGTTCGTACTGAGAAAATTGCTTGGCTAAGGCTTTTACTGGTAAAAACAAACAAACCAAAAATGCTTTGCTCAGATTTTTACTGGCATCAGTAGACAAAATACTTTCCTCAGTTTTATGCTGCAAGCAAATATATATTGATAAACTGAATTAATTCTTTGATTAATTAAAACACACGATACATTTAACCAGAGAATAATAGAGCATTCAGCCCTAGAAATCTTTATGTGAAAAGATGATGTTTTTAATCTGCAATAGCCAGCATGTGTGGGCACATCCCGGAGGGAGGATGGTGCTGGGCAGAGCTGAGGCAGGAGGGTCAGCCAGAAACAAGGCAGTCGGCTGTGCAGTGGTCTCCGTTTGGATACCTGATGCCATATTTAGAAGATGTGTGAGAGAACTTGCAGTGGTCTCCGTTTGGATACCTGATGCCTTATTTAGAAGATGTGTGAGAGAACTGGGAGAAAAAGTAGGGGATCCTGTTGTTAGCTGCTGCAAAGCGAGTCTCTCACATTTGCACTCAGGTTTTGGGGACTGAGTGCAAGTTGGAGGAAGATTGGGCAGCAAGTGTCCCATCCATCACAACTGGACTGCAGGTTCTTGTGTATTTTCTGTCCTGTGAACATCAATGAAAGCTCTTGGAGCTGTGCATTCCTCAGTGCCCTCCCACGGCTGCCAGAAGCACTTGTCCAAGCAGCAGTTGTCTCAAAACCTTTTGTCCCCTTCTTCTAAACCATCTCTGTGTCCTTGGGTTTCAGGTGGCACCGTACAGCATGAGGCTTGGGACCTGCTGGCCATTCCCTTTGGCAGCTTACTCCAAAATGCCTGGTCCACAGCACTCCAGGAGGGGGAAGAGATCCCAGGCTGGAGTTGGAAGCACGAAGAGGAGGAGACATGGCAGAGGGCTGGCGCTGTGAGTATGCCACGACGGGTGGGTGCACCAGCAAGCAGGGATGGCCAAGTGCCAGTGCTTATCCAGTAAACTGCCATCCTGTCACTGTCACCTCCCAGCAGCAGAGGACACCCTGGTAAATTCAGCACTTGGTGAGGCACGCTGCAATGTGGGAAGGTAGTTGGCAGAGGCTCAGCAGTTTGCTGCACAGACTTTACAATGTAATTTACTGCAGTGCAATCACCACCGATTCCAAGAGTAAAGGCATCCCTGTTCATAGCCCAGTTACTTGCTCAAATTTTAGTTTCACCTGGCCAGATAGCAGAAATCCAGGTTGAGTCTGGTCAAAACATCTCATGGTTTATAACTGCTCGGAAATCCCACTGCCAGGGTGCTCTGCAACAGTTATGCTGAGAAAAAGCTCAAGCTCTAAAGCTGGGGCTGAGCAAAGTGCTGGACCCAAGGGGAGAAGAATCAACCAAGCTCTAGGGACAGACAGCGCTCGACCAAACGCTCTGCTCCAGACAGGCAAAACTCCCACATAAATCAACATAATCTTAATGACCCCATATAATCTACTCACAACATACATGCTACAGGAGAGGAGCTGCCATTCGTAGGATTACCCCAGTGTTATATTCCTAGACCTGGGATTTACGGCGCTGACGGGTGGTTTATACTTATTTCAATTTAAGAAACGTAAATGCATCATGAAAATAAGTAGGATCAACCCAGCCCCTGCAATTATGCCCTAGTGTACCTTAAATGCCATATAATTACATAATCTTCTGATTCATATTCATCCATCACCTAAAAATGTATTTACTAGCACACTTTACTAAGAAAAGGCAGAAACATTTAGGAGGGATGGGGAAGATGCAGGGTTGTCTCCTCTCCCTCCCAGCAGAGCAGCTGCCTCCATCCTGAGGAGGTTCACACCAGCTCTTTCTGGTGGGCCAAGTAGGTGAGGAAATCTCTCCCCCCGATTCCATTTCTAAGCAAAGATCCCTCCATGTCCTATCAAAATTCCAGGGTCCAGAGAAAAGAAAGAAAGTAGATGTTTTGAATTTGAAAAAATGAAGCTTCTTTTGAGTTATGATGCAAAACCTACTTTTTTTTTTCTTTGCCTTCCTCATAAAACTTCCAAATTTTAGAGGTTCCTGAACCTCATGAAAAAAAAAAAGAAAAATTATTCAATGTTGGAAGACTGAAATTTTCTGTGATATTCCAAATTCCACAATTTTATGGCCGATTTCCAAGCCTGCCGGTGCCGGGGTGCGATCACCAGGGGAACTCAAGACTTTAACTCTCGCAGCCGAGGCTGAGCAGCCGCGGTTTAAGTGTCACCGCTGCCTGCGGAGAAAAACCCATGGTTTTGAGCAGAATTGGCTGCCCTCCCCGGGAGAAGACGAAAAGTGCAGGTGCTCAAGCTGTTCTGCGAGTGCCATCCAGGGGAGGAGAGCTGTATGTACCGCGGCTGCTGCTTGGGGGGGGACGACTCGGAGGGAGGTAGGGGGTTAAAGCCTGATTTTTTTGTGCTTGTGGGTGTTGAATGGGGGGAGACAACCCAAGTGAAAGAAGACTGAAATTTTCTGTGATATTCCAAATTCCACAATTTTATGGCCGATTTCCAAGCCTGCCGGTGCCGGGGTGCGATCACCAGGGGAACTCAAGACTTTAACTCTCGCAGCCGAGGCTGAGCAGCCGCGGTTTAAGTGTCACCGCTGCCTGCGGAGAAAAACCCATGGTTTTGAGCAGAATTGGCTGCCCTCCCCGGGAGAAGACGAAAAGTGCAGGTGCTCAAGCTGTTCTGCGAGTGCCATCCAGGGGAGGAGAGCTGTATGTACCGCGGCTGCTGCTTGGGGGGGGACGACTCGGAGGGAGGTAGGGGGTTAAAGCCTGATTTTTTTGTGCTTGTGGGTGTTGAATGGGGGGAGACAACCCAAGTGAAATGCCTGAAGCTTTCTAAAGCTCACCCAAGCCATCCGCAGGATGAGGGTACAAGCAAATTGGTTAAGACATGAAGTGTCAGGAGTTTGTGAAGTGACTGGAACCTTCACAGCTGGTCTAAAAATCCTGATTTCAGTGGTTAGTTTGTGTGTCCCCCCCTCCGGCTTCCCCTGCTGTGGGGTGTGGCAGAGAGCAGCCCTAGGGACATCTCTGTTCCTTTCCCCAAGGCGAGGGGCTATTGCCTGAAAAAAAACACTCAAACCTTGGAGGGAGAACCCATCCCATGCTGCTGCCAGTCACCATCCCGGGGCTACTGGGCATTTAACGGTGCTAAAGCACCAAGGAGCAGTGAGAAAACACATTTTTCCCTCCTTGCCGTATAAATTAATGGGGTGAATAAACTGTTTTGAACTGTTGCCATCCTCCAGGCACTTTAAAAGGAAGCTTTTTTGCTCTGTGGCTGCGGTGGCCCGGGGATGCCCACGGGGACCGGGACACCCCACTCCATCCCCCCACCCCGCACAAGGGAGAACCCATCCCATGCTGCTGCCAGTCACCATCCCGGGGCTACCGGGCACCAAGGAGCAGCGAGAAAACACATTTTTCCCTCCTTGCCGTATAAATTAATGCGGTGAAAAAACTGTTTTCAGCTGTTGCCATCCTCCAGGCACTTTAAAAGGAAGTTTTTTTGCTGTGTGGCTGCGGTGGCCCCGGGGATGCCCACGGGGACCGGGCCACCCCACTCCATCCCCCCACCCCGCGCCTCCCCGGGGCGCTGTTGGCCGCTACCGGCGTTAGGATGGGGTTGTGTGAGCGGGGAGGGACCGGAGCTCACCTTGAGGATGAGCGGGTTGCGGAGCATGCTGTCCCGGCCCACCCCCAGCCGCTCGTTCTCGCTGCCCGGCTCCACCTCGTCCAGGGATAGCGGCTGTCGCGGGGCCGCCGTGTGGCCGCCTGCCATGTCGCCCACCCCGGGGCCAAGGCGGGCGGCTTTGACCTGCCCGGTGAGGAGAAAGGCCTCGCCGTGGAGCTGCAGCTCCCACCCGTGAGCGTAGGGACGGGGGGTGTGTGTATGTGTGTGGCGGTGTCCCGTCTCCTAGCAACCGCCGCCGCCGGTCCGTCGCTTTGATGGGTCCGGCCGGGGCCGCTTCCGCTGGACGAGGAGGAACGGAGAGTCCGGGAGCAGCGCGGTGCGGGGGGAGCGGTGTTGCCGTCGGACGTCGCGGGAGCGTGCGCGGCTCGGAGGTGCGGCGGGTGGCCCCGGGCCGGACCGTTATCCCCCGGCCGGACCGTTATTCCCTAGGGCCGGTGGTGGCCTGGCTGGGGAGAGACCGGTGGGGAGAGTGTCAGGGTACCTGAGGGGATTGCGTTTTTCCCGCTTCGGTGCCACCCAGAGGCCTGGGGGTGCTCTGGGTGCCGGCCTCGGTAGTCCCGGAGAGAGGCGGGGGGTAACGGCGGGCATGCCCCGGGGGGTGGGACCTGCCTCCGCGCAGGGGAGGCCTGGCCGCGGCCTGGCTCTCAGCACGGTGCTGGGGCGAGCTGTGCGGGGCCTGGGGCCCGTCCTCAGAGCTGTGCGGGATCTGGGGCCCGTCCCCAGAGCTGTGCGGGGCCTGGTGCCCGTCCGCAGAGCTGTGCGGGGCCTGGGGCCCGGCCCCAGAGCTATGGGGTGGTGCGGGGTCTGGTGTCTCTCTCCAGGGGTCTCAGGGCAGCCGTTTCCCAGCGGCAGTGAGGAGGTAACATCTGGTCCCGGTCAGCACCGTAAAGTGTTTTGGGGATGTGAAAGTCAAGGTCTCGTGTTTCAGAGATGACGGGATGTTGTTTTCTAAGTGGTTTTTATGTGTTGGCTGTAGAAAACGTGCTAAAAAATACTTCCTGCCTGCTCTCTGTAACTCTGTGGCTTTCAGGAATGGGTTTGTTCTGGTTACAGAGTCTGTCGCAGCTGCAGGTCTCGCCGAAGCTTGGGCTTCTTTGAACACAGGCAAAGCCAGTCCAAAGCTTCTAATTAGATAACTTGTTTTTAGTGCTGATTGGTTTAGTATTTCTTTATTACTTCTAGCTTGTTGCTGTTTCAGTGCTGAAAGCAGAGTTGAATACAGCAGCTTGTCATCTCTTAGTTATTAAAAAACAGCTTAAAGCTAACAGGTATTAAAGTGTATCTTTGTTGTTGTAGGAAGGCAGTTTTAAGGCAATACAGCTGTGATGCACATCTGTTTGATGAAGAAGGTGTTGCATTTTCATAGTCACTTTGCAAAATTAGCTGGATTGAAAAGTAAGTATCTTTATTGTCTGTTTCTAAGATAATATTAAGTAGTTCCCTTGTATTTTAATGTTTTGGGCTGTTTTTTTAAATGTGTAACGGTACATAGATTATAGCACTTGAGTAAAACTCATCTTTTTTTATTTAAGGTAAGAAAAAATATGACAGAAGAAGCAAGTGCAGATGATTTTCAAGTTCAGAATTTTCTCAAGAAGAAGAAAAAGAGAAAACGCAAAGAATACAATAAGAAACATGAAAATGATGAAGGAGAAAGTATAGAAAATGCAGAGCCTAGCCGTGCTTCTCCACTGCTGTTTGAAGATCGAGCAGCACAGAATGGTGAAAGTTGTAAAAAGAAGAAAAAAAAACACAAGGAGAAGATGCAACAGTCTTTGTTAGATAATTCTTGTGTAGGACTGGAATGTGAAATCAGTAACGAAACTGGAGTGGATGTCTCCCAAAAGAAAAAAAAAAAGAAAAAAAAGAAGCGAAAGTATAATGATAGTACAGATGATCACAATGATGTAAGTTGTGTGGTATTAAATCACCATCCTGTTGATCGTTGCCAGCAGATCAATGCTGATTACGTTTATTTAAAACAACCTGCTAAGAAGAAAAAAAAAGAAAAATTGCCTGAAGGGGATGAGGTATGTGAGCTGCCCATCTCAGAAGCAGGTGATCAAAATGACAATAAAAAACCAAAAAAGAAGAGGAGGAAGAAGAAGAAAAGAAGCAGTAGTACCCAAGATACGCAGGACAACACAGATGTGACTGTTGAGCAGTCGCTGTTGACAAGTGCTGAGCGAAACAGGCAAGGGGAAGACACAGTCTTGGCTACAGAAGAGGGTGCTGTGGCAACGCCTCAGCCATGGCAGGAAGATGGTGACTGTGATGCTGCTTCTCTCATGAGCGAAGATTCTTTGGATGTACCTGCTAATTTTTCAAAGCAGACTAAAGCGGATGATCGATCTCAAAAAACTCCATCGCATGCTCGGAAGACAGTAAAAAGCAGTGCCTTCGTCATGGAAGACAGCTCTTCAGAATCTGATGTAATGTAAGTGTAGGGTTTGGTTTTGTTTGTTTGTTTTCTTTTCCCACCTCTCAGATACATTTTTGTCACATTATTTGGGTCCCAGATTTTTCTTCGGTCTGTATTGTATGTGTTTTTAAAAACAACTTCAAAAACCTTTATGTTATGTTAAGGTGTTATGGAGACCTACTTTAGAGCTCAGTTATCAATACAAAAGAATACAATGCCATTGCCTTCAATGTAGAATATTTTAAAACCTGTAGGTATAGACATAATTTATGTGCAAGTAATTCATATTTAGTAAAAAAAAAAAAAAAAGGGGCGGGGGGAGGGGAAGAGTGCGATTTCTGTTTGTTAAATTTGGTGTTTATATTGACTTGTAGGCATTTTTGCCAAACATATAGTTTGGTCAGCTTAAGAATTTAGAGTTTTGTGCACACAAATGCTGATATAAGTAGCTGTTGGTGCTTTTGCAGTGTCTAGAACCCACAGTAAGAGCACTCGTAAGAGACGGAAACGTTCTGTGTTGCCAGCAGTAGAAGAGACACTATTTCTTTTGCATGTCCATGTGTGAGAGTTTTGTGGGAAAGGTGTGGATTTTCAAAACTTCAGCAAGCTCTTTGAATGTATTAAATATAGAAATTTGATAATAAATTATGTCTATGTTAAAAGGTTGAAAATACAAGGGGGTAGATGTGTGGAGTATTCCTTGTTCTTTAATTAATGAACATGTTCATTCTTTTGTACGGTAGAGACAGTAACAAAATCTCTGTTTCACAGCTCTAATGGTGTATTTTATTTTACTTTTTTTTTTTTTTTTTTTTTTTTCCCCCACATCAGGACACCAGAACCCTTGGGATCAAATAGAAAGAAGGACCCAAATAGTTCCGATACTGAAATGGCAGCCTCTGATAAGCTTAGCGTGAATGATGAAGAGTTTATAAACTCCACCATGTGTTCAGTTGTGGATTTGGATGTTGCAAAACAAGAATTGGAAGAGTTTATTCCTCATGTGAGGAATATATCAGACAGTTCAATCAGGAAGATGGCAGGAAGAGACCTAGTGAGGTTTAAGCAGTTTAAAAAACAAGGTGAGCTCTCGAAGTGTTGTTGTAGTGAGGGAGGACTGTGCAGCTGTGCTAATATTTTGACAGAGAAAAAGTAGTTCAGTTTTGTATCTTAATCTGTCACGTGCATGGAATCTTGTTCACTTCATTCCAATGGACATATTTTCTGTTTCTCTGCTTTGTAGCATCTACTTCCTCATTTTTTTTTTTTTTTTTTTTTTCCCCCACATCAGGACACCAGAACCCTTGGGATCAAATAGAAAGAAGGACCCAAATAGTTCCGATACTGAAATGGCAGCCTCTGATAAGCTTAGCGTGAATGATGAAGAGTTTATAAACTCCACCATGTGTTCAGTTGTGGATTTGGATGTTGCAAAACAAGAATTGGAAGAGTTTATTCCTCATGTGAGGAATATATCAGACAGTTCAATCAGGAAGATGGCAGGAAGAGACCTAGTGAGGTTTAAGCAGTTTAAAAAACAAGGTGAGCTCTCGAAGTGTTGTTGTAGTGAGGGAGGACTGTGCAGCTGTGCTAATATTTTGACAGAGGAAAAGTAGTTCAGTTTTGTATCTTATCTGTCAAGTGCATGGAATCTTGTTCACTTCATTCCAATGGACGTAGTTTTTGTTTCTCTGCTTTGTAGCAAGTATTTCCTCATTGTGGAATTGCAGTCCAAAGCACGTGTGTACATTAGCTGCTCCTAGTGCTTGTTTTGTCTCTTTTCAGTTTTCTTTTTTCACCTTTAGAATTTGTTGATCTTTCATTAGGTGAGTCATGGTTTGGGCTGGGCTGGCCACTAAAACAAACAACAGATGCTCTCTCTTCCCCAGTGAAGGAGGAGAGAAACTTACCAGAAAAGAAACTAAACTACTTCAATGAAATATTAATAATAAAATAATAAGAAGAAAATATAATAATAGTTATAAGAAAATAATGAAATATATACAAAGCCCTGTAGAGCTCCGAGGGTGATGATCACATTGACAGGCACTGGGAGAGTCCCAGACTGGACTCGGCAACGGATGGGAGCTGAACTCAGGAACTGGATTCAGGGACACACAGGTTGGGATGAAAGGCAGGCAGACAGACAGAATCCTCCTTGGATGTCAGCCATTGAAGAAAAAGAGCTGACCCTTTGATCCCTCAACTTTTATACTGAGCGTGATGCCGATGGGATGGAGTCCCCTGTCTTGTCCGCTCCTCCCTGCTGGTGTGACCCCTCTACGCTCTTCCTCTTCTGACCCTCCAACAGGGTGTATAACAAAGTTAGCTGGTCTTGGTTCTATCCCTCAGCTTTTATACTGAGCGTGATGCCGATGTGTATAACAAAGTTAGCTGGTCTTGGTTGTTACAGCAATAAGTATGAGCAAGAGCCTCTACATACTGTTCCTTGGCATTAGCTAGAAATATTCACTCCTAAAAGCCTGTGCTGTCTGAAAAACGTGTCGTTAATTTCAGTGAGTTCAGTTAGTTAGAAGAGGCTTAGCTGAAAAGCAAATTTACTGAAAAGAAAATTCATTCTGCTTTACCTCAAACCAGGATACTGTGTTTGCTAAAACCTGAAATATAATGCATGAGACGTGGTACTTGAGGTTTGTTGTTCTTTTTGGTGTTTGTTTGTTTTGTTTTGTTTTTTAAATAAAACTTTCTGTATATTTTAGGTATCGCGGTCAAGTTTGGCAGATTTTCCCAGAAGGAAAATAATCAAATCCGGAAAAATATTGAAGAGTTCTTATTGATTACTGGAATAGACAGTGCTGAGAAACTCCTCTTTACCTCAAGGTATCCAGAAGATAAAGAAACTATCAAACGCCTAAAAGCAGAACATCATTTTTGTGAAAAAATTTGTAAGTATTTCAGTTCCTTCTCAAATAGCTAAGTATTAGATTCCATAACCTGGTGATTTCAGTATCTATTTTCTAACGTTTTTTTTTTAATTGAAAAGCACTAATGTTGCTAAATTTGGCAAAAAAAAAAAGGGGCATGCTGCTGAGATTATGTAGTTGGTAATCTGTACTTTATACTATTCTTAATACCTTTTCTCAGTTATGGAGAGGTTAGAGGTTAAAATATTGTCACAATTAGCAGCACTTAGAGACTTTTAAACTTGCATTTGGGCGTTATGGCTTAAGGTGCATTATTTGCTAGACTTTAATTAACAGAGTGATTTATTAATGGGAGCTGTGATTAAATCCTGCCTAAAATCGTCAACCATTCTTAGAGCACATAATGAGTGGCAAGTTTAGGAATAAGTAAGTGATGGCTTCTCAGAAACTGAAGGAAATTAGGTCATTAGCCAAAGTAGCTAGTTTTCATGGCTGTCTCGTGTCTCTCTGTTAATGGGCATATTCAGTGTGTTACTCAGATTTCATCCAGAAGTTACCAAAATTTACAGCCAGGTCATACAATTTGTAGCTGATGAGTAACAGGTTCATGCTTGAGAGTTCAAAAGTTCAGTTTTTCAGTATTTGCCCACACATGCGCACAGGGGCACACAATTATTTACCAGCTGTTCCATGCACCATCCTATCACAGTCAGAACAATCACATCTTCAAAATTCTCAGGAGATTCTGTTCAGACTATTTCCTGTGCAGTTACCAAAGTGTTGTAGGGTATGTTCTCTTGAATGGAGAGAATCTGTCACTGATAGCATGCTCATGGAAATGTATGTCGTTCAGTTTTGTTTTGGCTTTGTTGAAATAGCCTCACGAGTGTGAGAAATGTTTCTTAAAAATTAATCATTTACCTTCTAGCTGAGGGCATACCACGACCCTGGAGGCTGATATATTATCGAGCAAGAAAGATGTTTGACCCAAATAATTATAAAGGGAGGTGAGTAATTTGACAGAGTTTCTGAATGCTAATATCAGTCTCTGATATTTATTTGTACATTAAAAATGGACATAAATGAAGATAATCTCCCCAGTTTGTGCCAGTTACTGTGACTTAATTGACAATTCATTTTTCTGACTGTTCCTTATAAATTCCTCAGTTTTAAAGTGTGACTTAAAATGGTAGTGATGAGTAACATTGAAACACCTGGAAGGATTACAGCTCTTTTAAGACATTGGCATGGTTTGAATTTACAGCTGAAGCTGTGCCCATTTCCTCAACTAGGTATAGTAAGGAAGAAAAAGAAAAATTAAAGAAGTATCATGCTCTGCATGGGAATGATTGGAAGAAGATCTCCGAGTTGATGTCCCGTTCTAACCTCTCAGTTGCTATGAAATACTCTGAAATCAAGTCAGGTATGTAATTTTATGGAAAACAATTTATTCTGTATATTGCAATTTAAAAAGTTATTTTAACTGCATGTTGTATGTGCCCTAAACTTTAGGAAAAAAATCCCTTGAGTGGATTTTTTCTTTTTAATGATTTGTGGTGGTTCTTTTCTTGAAATCCACTGATTGCATTTTCATACAGAAGAGCTAAGAACAGTTTCTGATAGAAAAGGGAAAAGAAGTGGAACAAATGCAGCTCTTTATTAAATGGAACTGGCTTCTAAATGGATGCTTTCAGGGGAAGGGTGAGAGGAATTTAGTGGCCAGGCTTTTTGAAAGGTAGAAACTAGAGCTCAGTGCTGTTCTCCAGTGATTAGACTGAACTCCTCTCTCAAATCTGGTACACAGAAGGCTTTCTGGGAAGTGTGTTACGTAGCTGGTCCTGTAAATAAGAGTAATGCAAAGTGAAGCATTTGCTCTTTTGCTGTTTTTTCTTAATAATTTATGATACATCATACCTTAACCTTATGTTTCAATTTTAGCTGCTAATTATGGTCCTTGGTCAAAAGAAGAGACCCAGAAGTTAATGCATGCAGTGGAGGAGGTGATTAGGAAAAGAATGGAAAAGGAAGATGCAGATTCTCTTTCATCATCGGAAAAGTCACATAGAGAGGTCTCAATTGACCGGGAGACGCTGTACCAGAAATTACCGTGGACTGAGATTGAAGCTAAAGTGGGAACTCGATATTGGAGACAATGCAAACAGAAATGGTAAGGTTCTACCTTTACTGTATTGAGATATACTAAATTGAGATGGTGAAATGAGTTCTGGCGAGCATTTAACTCCATTCCACAAAATTTTTGTACCATGATGATTGTTTGGTAAGATGGATAATAAGTAAGTTGAAGACTCCAGAAGATATGTTGCAAATGTTTTTGAGACAAATAAATAATTCCTTGCTAGCTGTGGTAAGTTTTCTTCTTGCTGTGATATTGAAGCCTGATTTCGGCCTCTCTGTGGCAGTAACATCTTGAAGACACTTGCTTTTCATGCTTGGGATTTCTTGAAATGATGTAAACCTTTTCTTGTGTGTTTTCAAAGGACTGCAATTTTGACAAACAAGATGACCAAAGGGCAGCAGGTGTATAGGGGGACCAAAGGATTACAGGCCAAGATCAGTCTTATTAAAAGGTATAGTTCAGAGTTACTGGGATGTTTTTGTATCTCTTACTGTTCTGAGTTGTGTTTATAAAAACCTGCTGGGTGAGAATGGCATGCCTGCAATTTCATACAGGTTTCACAATCACTTTTCTTTGGACAAAATGTCCCATGACTTCTGCCTGGAGGAGCTGTGAGTATTATTGAATTCATTTCTTGAATTCTGCCAACAAACTGCTTCTGTGTTATATTCACAGGTTGTATGAAATGAAAGTGGAGGATGCTAATGAAGTAAACTGGGAAGAACTCAGTCATATCATTGGGTAATCTTTTTCCCCTCTTTTTATGGATACAAAGGATAGATAAAGCAGATGGTCTTAAAAATTCCACAAAAGAATCAAAATTCTTAGACCTCTGCAACTATAGGAACAGACATTTAGTTTGGTAACATACAGTTGTATAGCCTTGCATAGTACTCAGCAACAAACTCACTTTTAACCGCTTCAGGCAACCCTCATTGTGCTCCCAGCACGTTCTGTGTACTAGAACTGTGTTATTTATTTACTCTGTGCTAAAGTCTCTGATAAAAGACTTCTCCAGGTGTTAATCACCACGAGCATCACTCTCATGAATGGATAACACAATAACAACTACACTTTTTAATAGTTCCTTGCACCACTAATTCTTTGAACTCTTCCCTTTTCAGAGATGTCCCTAAAGCCTATGTTCAAGCAAAATTTTATAAGCTAAAAGTCTCCTGTGTTCCTTTGTGGCAAAAAAAGACTTTTTCTGGTCAGTATCACAGCTCTTTGTATATACTCCTTAAGGTTTTTGCTTGAATCTAAGAGGATATGTATTCTGGCTTAACGCTTTCTTAGTTAGCTTTCCCCTAAGTAAACTGGGTTCAAAATCTCAGGCTTTATACTTATTTTACTAAATGATTTTTTTTTTTTTAAACAACAGTTTACTTTCAATGGCATCTTCATGCAGTGCTTATCAACCCCTTTAATGCCTTTGCTTTAAAAGTTTTATGACTGCTTTTTTAGTGTACCTTTGCATGTATGTGTCTGATCTACCCCGCAGCCACTCGAATTACTATGGAATAGTGAGATTTTTTTTTGCATTTGGCACTGACAAAATAATTGCTGTCTGTGAGATCCTGTTTCCCCTGGGCATCCAGTTCTCCTAAAGATCTAATTAAGACTACTTTTTTTGTTTTTTCCTTTTTCTTTTCCCAAAGAAATTATTGATTATCTTTTTGAAGAGAAACTTCCAGAACTTGAAGAACAGTTAGAAAAAAGGAAGGGGAAATGCCTTAGTTCTGACAATTCAACAGCTGGTCAACAGCAAAAGGCTTTCCGACTTGGTGACATTTTTGACTCCAGTGAAGACAGTGATTAATGGGTTGTCTTAAAAACAATTCCACATCTGCATATTTAACGACAAAAGGGATCTGGTTAAAAGTAGGTGCAGATCAACAGGTACACAGGTTATCTAATAATGGGAAAATTAAAGACAATGCATGTCTGATTTTCGTGTTTCATGTTGAAGACTGAGGTAAACACAGTTCTTGTGCTACCTTTTATTACCTTTGGTTTTGGAAGTCTTTTTTAAGCATCCAGGTTGCTCTCTGAATGTCTCAAAAATAGCATTTCCACTGCCTTTTTTTCTATTGAGTTGGAAGGTGCTGTTCACCTGCTGTGCATGGCCTTGTTTTTCAGAACTTCAATGAATTTTAAACCATTTTAAAAAATGACAGCTTTCAATTTACTTTTAAATATCTATAATAAACAAATACGAAGACATCTGTGTTGATGGAAACAGCACAATGTTGAGTTTGGTTTTTTTAACAGAGATCATCTTAAAAGCAACTGATTTTTATTTTTGATGTAGACTTGTACTTTTATCAGCACTTCCAGAGAAGAGGGGTTTTGGTCCATTACTGTTCCTAAAATGTAATGTTATTTCATGCCAACTAGAACAATGCATTTAAAATGTTTTTGTTAATATTTGGAATACAAAGACAAAATGAACAATGTATATATATACATACATATATATTTTTATTGTGCCAAGGAGAATTTCTACCTTTTTATAAGAAAGTTGAGGGGTAAGATGGAGGTTGTACTTATGTTGCTGTATGATATTTGACTATCTGCCTAGAGTCATTATTTGTAAATTGACCGATGAATGTGTTAAAATAAATAATAAATTTTACTGTGCGTTTAAAGTATTTGTACGGCTTGTTTATATTTCTTGTATGTTGTGTTAGAAAGAAGACGTGGTCTCTGACATACTGCTTTTTGATGGCCATTTTGATAAGTGAAAATTTGCTTTTTTAATTTTAGGAATTGTCATCGAAAACGCAGAACTTCCAGCAGCTTGAAAAAAAGGCCTTGTTGGAGGCTCCTCTAGACTGTGACTTATAGAAACGGATGTTAAATGAGAATTTTCCATACTTAACCGTAGTCTGACTTTAGTTCCTCTGAAGATAGATAAGAATGTGATTTTTGTGGGATGGGTGAGATGCCCCATGAGATAAATCACTGGTAGGAGGGTAAGTTTTCCAGCCAAGAGATGAAATGGTGGGGGAAGCAAGTAGCAGCTCCCTGGCACTTAGGTCTTTGATTTGCTTCTGTTGCCTGATGAGTTTAAAGGTTAAAAGCTGGAGAACTTGAATTTTTTAAGTTTTTTTCCTGGAAGATGGAGATTATCTGAATTTTCTGTAGGCTAGAGGACAGACAGCAGTGTGGTTATAGAGTTTGTAGAGCAGGTCTCACAGAAAAAGCCTACCTCCATGACAAGATTGGTTTTATCCATTGCTTTAAAGGGAAACTTTTCAAGGCAGATTCGTGCTGATGCATTATTTTGCAGAGAAATTGCTTTTAACCAGCGAGAAAGCCAGGGCAGGAACTAAATCTGACCTCTGGCACACAGGAAAAAAGGGAGATGCTGTCTCTGCCCTGGGAAGAGAGTAGGGAAACAATTCCTTACCCCATCTCCTTTGGTAATTGATGGTTTGGGGGGAGGAGACACCACTCGGTCATTTCTCGGTTGCTGGATAATGGCACTTAAGAGGGCATAAGGAAGAAATTCTTCCCTTTGCCATCATCTTATAAAGGCTCCCGGGAGTGCTGGCGGGGGATGCAGTTGTTTTGTGTGGATATCTGAATATTATTGAAAACAGAGCAAATTTGCAGAGATTTAAAAAAAACCCCAACAGAAAACAACCAGCCTCCACCAGGTGCTGAGGGAAATAACACTGACAAAGCTTTGTGGGTCAGGTCTACGATATATAAGAGCATGACAGATCCTTCAAGTTTAAAAAGCACTGCGAGTCCCTCCCAAAAACTTTGATTCAAGCAGATATGTCTCTTCAAGCGTTTTTCCTGGAGCATTAATGGCCCAAAGGGTGTTATAGAAACAAATATCTCTCCCAGCTGTGTGGCATTAGCAAAGTTGGAGACAGCTGGGTTACAAGAGCTGTGTTTGCAGCAGAGAAATACTGCAAAGCTGGGGAGTGTTGGGGTGCCAGCTGCTGAAAATCGATCAGAACTTGCCTTTTTCACCCCTCCCTTAGAATCATAGAATGGTCTAGGTTGGAAGAGACCCTTGGGATCATCGAGTCCAACCATCTCCCCTACTCTACAAAGTCCTCCCCTACACCATGTCCCTTAGCACTGCATCTAAACGGCCCTTAACCACAGCCAGGGATGGTGACTCCACCACCACCCTGGGCAGCCTGTTCCAATGCCCTATCACTCTTTCGGTGACAAATTCTTTCCTAATGTTCAATCTAAGCCTACCCTGTTGGAGCTTGAAGCCATTCCCTCTCGTTCTGTCACTAATTACCTGTGAGAAGAGACCAGCACCAACCCCTCTGAAAAACTGTAAATAATCTCTTGGGTCCCCCAGAACCTGGCGTGCAGCGTTGGCTCTGTCACCTTTGATTGTCTTAATTCTCTCTGTGAGGCAGTACAGACACCCCCCCCAACCCCTGCCGTGCCTCAGTTTCCCGCCGCGCTCCCCGCGCTACTGGCCCTTTAAGGGGCTCTCCCCGAAGGGGCGGGGCTTGTGGGCATGAGGGAGCGACCCCGCCCGCGGCGGGAGGGTGGAGGGGGAGGCTGGAGCTTACTTCCGCCGGCTGGGCCGGAAGCGCGGGGAGCGCGGCGGGGCGGGCGGACGGGGAGAGGCGGCGGCCAGGGTGGTGTCGGTCTGAGGTGAGTGGGAGAAGGACGGGGCTCGGCTTCCCGCCCCGCGGCCACGCTTCTCGCCCGCGGTCACTCTCCTCGCCGCCGAGGAGGCTGGGTTCCCCTCAGGTTCCCTTTTGTCTCCGTCCCCTCACGCCGCCTGAGGGGAGGTGCTGCCCTGCTGGGCCGGGCCGGGCCTGCTCGGCGGGAAGGGAGCAGCGCCTTAAGGGCTCGGGTGGGCCTTTGGGAGGTGGGAGGTGCGGCCTGGGAGCTGGCGAGGGGAGCTGTTGGTGAGTGTCCCGTGGTCCCCCGGGCGGCGGGACCGGTAACGGGGAGGGGCAGAACGGGGAAACCGAAACTCCGTGCTGTGGGCTGGGCCGGGTGTGTGTTCTCAGCTGTTTGCAGCCGTTTAAACTTGTGGGAAGCGGAGAGTTACAGGTAAAGGGGCTTCTGGCAGCTGAGGTTTGTGTATCCGAGTGCGTTCGTTTAAGTAATTTCTTTCCTCAACGTAGGTAGGTAGATTTTCTTACACCTTTTGTTAGGAAGAGCTGCCATAACTGCTGCGCTGCCCGCATTTGAATGGCAGAGGGGATTCAGGTGCAAATCATACTTATCACTTAAATGTGTGTTTAATATAAAGTGTGCTAATTTAAATCCCAAAGCCGTTCTTAATCTGTAGCGCGTGAACTGAACTGGTTTCTGGTGATGACCGTTTTGCTCTAGATCTCTGAAATTACCATCAAGACTCGGTTACCAGAGGATGCTTTGTTGAAGGAACCGCTTTGCAGAGCCGCACTCGAGGGCACGTATGGCTGAAGGTCTCGGTCCCCTTCCCCACCTGCAGGAGAGCTCTCTTTTCTTTCCCACCATGTGACCTGCCACACCTGCACAGCAAAGAGCTTCCTTTGCCAAAGGTAAACACCACCATTGTTTCTTTTCCCCAGTCTGTGTGTATAGGGGAAATGCATGATTTTGCTTTATCTAGGTTCTCCTTTTGTATTCCTTGTTATGCTAAATAGCAGAAACAATTACCATCGTTCCTTTTATATAGTTAGTTCAAGTGTTCATGCTTTTGCAGTATTTTGTTGAGTTTTTCAGGCTAGCAGGATCTGAGATGACTGTATTGCTGCTTAGTGAAGAACTTTTGTTATTAGAGGAAGCAGTCTGTGGTGAGAATTCTATGGTGCTAACTATAATAATAATGAAGACAGGAACGTTCTGCATAAATATCCTTTGTGTTTGACAACAGGGAGTTGTTGACCTATAAATTTTAGCATGAGATTGAGAAAAAAATCTAATTAAATTTTGTACTCATTAGACCTAGATTCCACAGATACCAGTAAAACAACATATAATGAACTTTAGCATCGCAGTTCAGGAAAGCGTGGATTAGGCAGGGATGAGGGGTTTTTTGTAGTATGTAAAGTGAATTTTCACATATTGTTTCATAGCTGACAGATTATGTAGTTCGACTTCTTTTCAGTGCTTTACTTACAGTGTTTGCCATTCAGCAGGCATTTTTCTGTAATGTTTATTTAATGCTTTAATATGTATTTCTGTGATTGTATGCCCCTATATGATATAAGAACATCCGAGAACATAGTGTGTGTGCTGCTAATGAGTTACATAAATCCCAAAACTCATCACACTTGAAAATTAAATACTGTTGTGGCTGAAAGGGAATGTTTTGCTGCTTCCAGTCTTTGGACTTATGTGATTCCTCCTTCTTTCCATCCAAAGAATGAGCACATGTCGATGGTGTACACCTAGTGGTTCTGACACCACTGAGTTCCTGAAGGACTATGCTTCTAAACGGTTGTCCCAGGAAGATCTTGAAGGATCCAACGATGATCTCTGTTACTGCCTGGAGTGTGTGGTTGAATACCACAAAGCAAGGGAAAAATTGCCGTGGTTGCATGAGGTAATTAAGCTATTTGGCCGTTGCCCATTACTGAGCAGGAGGACTTGAAACTGAAGAAAGTCTTCAGAAAATGCTTCTGTGGTCCAGCCTCAGTGTAGGAGGGGGCGGTTTTGTGCAGGGGTTGTGTTCTATTGGTTTTGGGGAGTAGGGTATGTTGTTTTTTAACTGTCTGCTTTTTTTCATATTGAGTTGCAAGAGGACCCTCTTGTTTTGCATATATTCAAATCAATGAGAATTAAAACAGTAGTGGGAAATTGCTGACTGGACATTAGAGCTTGAGCTTTTAGTCATGCTGCGATGGTCTGACATCTGGAAAAAGAACACCTGCCAAACAAACTAACAGTTCTATTTCTTGTATGTATTTTCTTACTTCCTCTGGTTTATGTTCAGCTTTGAGCTTGTTCCTCTTTGTTTGCTTTCACTTTTCATTCATAGTTTTCTACTATGCTTGAATTTCAGAGATCTAACCTTGCAAGCCTGTGAGATTATTTGTGATTAAAAACAATCAAAAGTTTAAAACCCCTTTATTATAAACCCTTCATAGTTCTCCCTCATTAGTATCCATTCTTGTGTTTTGGGAAGCTTGTTTTCCTTTATGTGTATATGTATGTAAAACGAGTTTTTGTAGCTAATTGTTCATAATACAGCTATCTAAAAGATTGCTTTTCAAATTACTCAGCTAGGTTATCTGGAGGGCAATTCCATCTGAGTATATATTGGAATTCAGTGGGGTGACTGGACTGCTGAAAGTTCATTTCTGTGTCTATTAACTGTAGGAAATAACTGGTTTCTAATTGAGGTTTGGAGCAGTTACTGTAGATGAGTCATGTTAAGTGAGCTGAATCCCCTACAAATACTCAGCAAGTCAGTTGGTCTGTTTGCATTGTTTACATTCATCCCACTAATACGTTGCAAAATCTGCAATAAGGCAAGATTATAAAATTGCTTTTCCCATGGTCTTAAATATGATTGTTTTCTGTATTGTGCACTTTATCTTGGCCAGTGGAACAAAACTTTGTGACTAACCTGTGGCCTGAAATAATTATTGAAATGATTTATGAGTATTTAGCAGAATTATAAAAATGCTTTTCGTTTTTAATGCCACTTTCTTAAAAATTATTTTATAATCTTAACTCTGAAGTGAGAGATTTGTGACTTGCACAGTCAAATGCCACATCAAAACTTTATTGTTTCACGTTGTGCTTGGAAAGAAACTTTTCAAAATGAAATTGTAAGTTTTCAGAGTCTAGTCAAGGTTTCTGCGTGTGATAATGCCTTCATTGTTTACTTCCCAGATGCACTTTGTTTAGTTGTTTTTCCTGCTAAATAGGTCTTGTGGGGGTTGGAAACTTCCCGCCTTGTTGCCCGCATTGAGAAATCCATAAGTGAAGAAGCTGGAGAAGACGATGAGTTGTTTATAGTGGATGAGAATGGAGACACACAACTGTCTGGATATGTGGGCCCCGATTTTGAGAATAACCTGCGAGTGCCCCTTCTAGAAATACTGAAATATCCATATCTGCTCCTGCATGAGAAAGTCAGTATGTATCTATCTTGCTGTATACAGTTGGAAAGGCATGGTGTTGTTTCTACTGAAGGAGGTGAAAATAACAAATGGTAGTGAAACTGAAGTACCAATGTGTGTTTGTATATATATTTTATATTTATTTTTACACTAAATATTTGAGTGTATAGATTAGCCCTTACTGTAACTGTGTTTGTCCTTTCAGGTGAGCTGTGTGTAGAAGTGCTCTGTAGAATGGAACGAAGTCACAGCTCCTTTCAGGTCTTTGAGAAATATCCAGGAATTTATCTATTTTTGGTACACCCAAATGAAGTGGTAAGTTACCTTTTCTGTTCTGCTAAAATTTAGTTTTAATAGCATCAGAACAGATTCTTATTTTTAATGACAAGAATATGAAAATAGTAGCATTCAGAATTTTAAGTGTTTGATTTTCTGTATTTTTCTTTAACAGTGTGTGTGTGTGTGTATATATATATATATCTCAGTGAGATTTCAGTGGGGTAAAACCACAATATGAAAATAGTAGCATTCAGAATTTTAAGTTTGATTTTCTGTATTTAACAGTGTGTGTACATATATATATATGTGAGATTTCACTGGGGTAAAACCACAGTGTTTTTGTTTCAATCCTTAGATTCGTCGATGGGCCATCCTAACAGCAAGGAATTTAGGGAAGGTTGACAGGGATGATTACTATGACCTACAGGAAGTGCTGACTTGCTTGTTCAAAGTCATTGAGTTGGGGCTTTTTGAGAGTCCAGATATTTACAGCTCTTCAATGATTGAAATGGGTAAACTCGTCCTTCTGCCATCTCATTTATACGATACTTCCAACTACAAGAACTATTGGCTAGGTGAGTATTTATGGTCAGGAATTAGTTTGTACATGTAGTCTCTATCATCTTGTCAGAGCTCTGCTATTTCATAAGTGCTGTTTATTTTGGGGCATGTCAAATGGGAAAATTGAACATTGCACAGCTGCAATAGTGAGGTAGTGTTTAATTGGTTTTGTGTTGCTGCTGATGTCTTTGGTCAAGTGTTACGCTGGTATTGGCATCTGGAAAATGTTCCTTGATTTGGTGAAAATTAGAACAAACTTTTGCAAATATATAGACAGGTTACTTCTCTCTTTTTTTTTTTTTTTTTTTTTGGTGTAGGGATTTGTATGTTGCTGACGGTGCTGGAAGAACAAGCGATGGACTCCTTGTTACTGGGCCCAGACAAACAAAATGATTTCATGCAGTCTATACTTCACACCATGGAGAAAGAAGCAGCTGGTAACTAATTTTGGTACTGAGATTAAGGCGGGTCATAGACTGTGTTTCATCTTTATCAAACTTCCTTGTTTAATTGAGTGAATTCTTAATACTATAATGCTGAGGTGATCTTAATTGAGGCTTTCTTATCTTCTGGAAGATGGCCAATATTGTACGATATTTGGGCAATACTGAGAAATAGTGAAAAATGACACTCAAACTCTTAAGGGGAAAAGGAATGGCTGTGCTTTGCATAAGGCTGGCGTAGAGGTTTTGAGATGAAAAATCTATAATTTCTACCATATTGTTTTCACTTTATGTACAGGTTATATGGGGATGTGTGTTTCACTATGGCATGAAGTTTAAATTTTGAGTCCAGAAATAAACACCTTCTGAATTGGTGCAACTTGCTTAAAATTTGACTCTTGTGTTCATCTGTTTGAGGAACCACTTTTGCAACTGGGAATTTAGACTTTAAACCAGTAGCCCTTGAGCCATTCTTGTAGGCAGCATGATGCAGCCCAGGAATGGCACATCAGCTCAAGACTAATACTGCCTCTTAAATGACTAGATTGTTATAAACTTAGTATGTTTATTGAGGATATGGTGTGAAGAAGGAAGAACACACTTGAAGGAAAACCAATTACTTCCAGATTAAATTTGAAGTATAAATTGTCATAGTTGTGTAAGTTGTACCCACTTCTTAGAATAGCACTGCAAATATCAGTGTAGAAAAAAATCAGTTTCATAGAGTTGGGAAATGTTAGTAATAGTTGTCCAGGTTCCTGTTAATTTAAAACTGCATAAGGAGCAGTGTCTGTCTGTACAGATAAATGAGGTTGACTTTTTTTTTTTCCCCATCCTTTTTCGGTGTTAAAAAGTATCATTGAAACTTAGAAGAATACATATCCTTATATTAGTATTCAAGAAAAATTAATGAAAACCAGCTAATTTCAACTTAGTCTAAGAATGTACAGGACTTTTTGCTTTTCAACTCTCCCCAATATTGCTGTTGTTTCAGATGATTCCACTGACCCCTTCTGGCCAGCGCTGCATTGTTTCATGGTTATTTTGGATCAGCTCGGATCTAAAGTATGGGGTCAGCTTATTGATCCTGTCCAAGCCTTTCAAACCATTATCAACAGCAGGAGCTACAAAAATGAAATAAAAAATATACGCAGTAGCTTTAAGAGGTCAGTTTTATTAAGAGACTAGAACAGTTTTCTGATTTTAATACCAGGTAGCGTAGCAGTTTGGTCTTGATTTTCTTGTTAGTGTTGCCTTAATTTGTATTGGGGGAGGGAGATGACAAAAAAAAATCAGATGTTGCCAACTTCAAACAAGGAAAAGATGAAGTAGGTCCCTTAAAATCGTGAGGTTCTTTCAAAAATAATATGCTCATTTAATTTTGACTACTGTCATGTCTGTTATACTTTTCAGGAGTTTTTTCCTAAATCAGGAAGGCTGCTAACTGGTTAGTGCTTCTTTAGTGCTATAACCAGCTTGTGCTTAAGTTAATGAAGATTGCCATGTCTGAGACTGAGTAATATTATGGAAATTCCAGAATTTTCAGTGGATGACATATCCTAGGTTCCGTTGTAGGTCCAGATAATGACTGATTTGAGTTTACTTTTAGCTCATGTTAAGTCTTAAATATTTCTCAAGATTAGATTTACTTAATGGTACTGTATGGTGTTAAAAGCTTTATTCCTTTCAGGGAAGGTAATAGTAGCCTTTAATAGCTTGGGTAAAAGTGAAAACATGTAGCAGGCATCAGATACTCTTTTGAAAGGTTTTGTTGTCTTCTAAGATAAAAAAGGGAGCGTTTGAGTGACAATGTTGTCAGTATTGAAGAGGAAGTTCATTAGGTGGAGTGCTGTTCAGTGCAGAAGGGGTTGGTTAGTACACTGCTAGGAAGTCTAGAAATGGCTTCTATGGGAACACAGTTTTGTACATAAACTTGGGGCATGCTGTCCCTTTTAAGGATTTTATAAGAATCCAGGCCCCAAGACTTTAGGAACACTTGCTATTTCTGAAAACTGAAGCTGTGTCTAATTTAGAAAAGTTGGTGAAAAATAGTACCTGGATAACTATACCAGTCATTTACTGTTTTCCTGTGGTATACTTTTAATCAGCTTTGAGTTGACAATGTCTTAAATGTTCAGTGTTTTTATACACACAGTGTCTATAATGTTATAGATGGCTACAGATACATATGTATGGGAAGTTACAAGTAGCCAAGGAAGGCATATCGAATGAGATTTTCTTAAGTTAAGCTATTGGAGTGTTGTGTTCAAGTAGTTGCATACCAATTTTATCAGTATTTAGCCATGATTGAGCTGCATTAATGCATAGAAAATTCAAAGAAAATGGAATTCTTCTAGATGTTTGTTCTAGGTAGTCAAATCCATGGCTTAGTAGAAAGCTTTTTTCCTGAGACTGTTGCTTCCCCACCTCTTATGACCAGGATAGAACAAACTCTACAATTTTGAGAGTGGTGATATGATATCTTTTCATAGTTCTGTTTTGTCAATGATGTGTTCTAATAGTCACATGGTCAGTATCTGACAAGTGAAATGTCTTTTTTTGTGTCTTGGCCAGCTTGTTTTCATATAGTTTAAGGTAGTTGTGTGGAGTTTACAATGATTTGTGTTTCTTTTTAGGACAAAATCTGAACCGGAGTCAGACTTCGATGATGACATGGTCTCTTGCAGTCAGATTGTGTATAATTATAACACAGAAAAACCTCAAAAGGTATTAAAAAAATATATTTCCCTGTTCTTTGAACTCTGAGCACTGAATGACACTGTGGCACTATTGTGTGCTTTAAATTGCAGATAGTCTGGTCACTTGTTTACCTGGTACTTTCAGTCTGTAAGAGGAAAGAATAATATCTTTGTGAGTTAAATAGAGGTAGTATTAAAGCCCAGGAATTCATACCAAGATTGGAACAAGCGTTGGTATCTCCATGAAAACTCTAAATTAAATTTAAAAGAAAATTTGCTGATTGAGTTCTTCTGGTTTACATTTTATTTCTCAGTATTCTAAACTAATATATTGCATATGGAGTAATGAGATATGCGTTGATGTACTTTCAAATGTTAGACCGTGCTTCAAAATGTCACCACTTCTTTTCTTGTTATAAAGCAGAAAAAACATTTCTGTGTTCTCTTCATGTTGGTGTTGTATTTATTAAATGTCTTTTAAAGGCTTTAGATGTCTATTTGATTATCTGAGGTTGAATTATGTCTGCATAACAAAATCTTTGGAGAGTTTCACAATAATTTTTAAAGGAAGTACTACTTTACACTTATTTCATAGGTTACATTTTAGGAAATTAGTTCCTTGTACATGTGTTAATTTGATCTTTATTCGTTTTTTTTAAATTTAGATTTTTGACTTATATTGTAATATAAGAGATGCTATCATTTAATCAACATACATTTGAGATAAAGTAACCTTTATGGCTAGAGGAAGAAAAAAAGCACATTGAATTGTGCAGATGTGCATGATGAGGATGATGTGTGCTGAATTTATTTTTCAGGATACTGGTTGGAAGTCTGCCATTTGTCCGGAATACTGCCCCAACATGTATGAAGATATGCAAACGCTGGCTAATGTGCTTCAGTCTGATCTTGGCAAAGATACACGTGTCCATCACAGCACCTTTCTGTGGTTCATCCCTTTCGTTCAGTCGCTTATGGATCTCAAGGACTTGGGTGTAGCATATATAGTAGAGGTCATTCACTACCTCTGCTCGGAAATCAAAGATATTCTCAATGAAAGAATCCAGCAGTGTGACAAAATCTCTGAATTTTTTCTCCTGATCTTGGTGTCCGTTATTGAACTACACAGAAATAAAAAGTGCCTGCATTTGCTATGGATTAGCTCCCAAGAATGGGTGGAAGCAGTGGTGAGATGTGCTAAGCTTCCAGCTATAGCTTTTACACGGTGCACTGAAAAAGCATCTGGACACTGTGGGAGAGGTTCATCAGCAGTATCTTTACAAGCTTCAAACTCTGTGCAGCATGCCTGTGTGCAGCTGATTCGCAGCCTTCTTAGAGAAGGCTACCAAATTGGGCAGCATTCTCTTTGCAAGCAATACCTGGACAAACTCAATCTCCTTCTGCGAGGAAATCTGTCTTTAGGTTGGCAGCTGAATGTCCAAGAAACCCAGGAATTACAAATGTGTATAAAGCAAGTTATAAGAAGTATGAAGGGCAGAGCATTGAATGCCCCTGTGTCTGTAGGAAACAATGCCAACTCTACAACTTTGCCTACCGTTTCTGTAAAGCAAGAGAATATTGCACATGGTGATGTGTGCAATAAGATGAATGAACGTGGTAGAGATGACCTTAGTGGTGTCATAGCGAAGGAAGGTGGAGATGAAGATTGTCGAGAGAACCTGTTCCCTAGAAGAAAGAGTGCCTGGGAAGAGGAATGTAGAGATGCATTTAAAAGTTCGGGATCTTGGACCTCCACAGAAGGCCTCTGCATGAATATTAAAAAGGAACTTACTGACTTCACAACTCAGGAATACGACTACCCACAGAACTCTTCGGTCACAAAAGTACATGGGAAAGCTCAGGAAAGCAAAGACAATGATCTTGTGGCAGGGAAATTTGATACGGATAATCAGCACTTTAATCCAAATGCCCAGCGTTCAGATTTCGGAAGAGGCGGGGAGTTGGAAAACAAATGTGAAGCAGGGTCCATAAAGCAGGAACCAATGCATCTGGCTGCTCAAAGTCATACTGGTTCTTCAGAACACGTTTACAGCTCAGATGGAAAGGAAAGCAATATGTCTCGCAGTTTGTCTTCAAAGTTTAAAGTCGATGCAGATAGGCTCACAAGTTTGAAAAGCAAGATACAGAAAATTGGATGGCTCTCAAAACAGTCGCGGTCAGCGAAGCCATGTGACTTGAAAAGCTGCACTTTAGCAGCAAGTGCTTCAAAAGCAGAGATGGAGCAACCAAAGTTTTGCACTGACTATCCATGTATGAGCAAAGATTGTCATCAACACCAGAGAGTGAATACTGTGTGTGGAAATGAGATCTCTGTTGATACTCCGTCTTCAAGGAGTTGTGACAAAAATCTTGACGGTGCTTTTCAGTCCAAACTGGTCCCCACTAAACCAGTATCAAAAAAAACACCAATGGATTGCGCTAGCTCGTCTAAAAATGAACCTGGTATGCAGCAAAATAAAAGTGTCGGTATTTTGCGTTCAGGGATTAGTGACACCTTACCGAAAAAAGCATCCACTGAAGAAAAATCAAGTTCATTGGTAAAGTCAGTGGTTAAGACAGACACTGACATGCAAACTTCAGACCAGGAACAGCTTAGTTTAAATGACTCGGTTAAATATAACTGTGAAGGTCCAATTTCTAAGACATTCTGCACGGACAAAACTTCAGCAAATGGTCACGTACCATCTAGCTCTGAAAAGCAGAGGGATATATCCCACACTGCTACTGAGATCAGGCCACTGTCAGTGAAGTGTGAATCAAGCGACAGATTGTTCAAATTTTCAAAATATTTCAAGAGAGAAAACAATTCGGTGAGGAAGGAAGAGGAGGATTTGGTGAAGGTTGTTTCTGAAGATAATACTTTAACAGACTCACAGGTTGACAGAGAACTCAGTAAATTATCTTTAGCTGCATATGCCAAAAGCGTCAATTTTCCCTTTGAGTCAAGCCAGGAAAGCTCAGTACATCATAATCTATGTGACATTAAAAGGAAAGTGAAAGGTGCCGTAAGATCTTCTGATGATGACCAAAGTACCAAGACTCCCTGTGGTGCAGATTGCCTTGACAATCAAGTCATCATAATTTCAGACTCTTCTGATGAAGAAGCAGGTGTGGCTGACAAGGAGGAAACAAAAAAAATGAACGAAAATGTACATCCTGAAAAGCAGCCTTCAACTTCCAGCAGCATTTCTGATAGTGATGTCAAATTAGAATCGAAGACGCTGCCAAGCTCTCCCTCATCCCTGGAAGACTGTGAGTCTCAGTGCTTTGAATTTGAAACAGAAGGTGATGTCTTTTCGGTTTGGCAAGATACTCAAGCGTATAGTATGGAACCAACTCAAGAGTATAAACAAGATCATGTTTCAACATCAGTTGATAGTAGTAATTCGGATAGTTTACTGAACGATTACATAAATGAGTGGGGTTATGATGTGGATTACGTAAGTGATGATGCCATGGATGAAAAAGCAAACTTGACAGAAAACCAGGCAGAAAATATTTCTCATCAGAAAGAAGCTGATAATACAGAAGTAGTAACTAATTCCACACTGCAAGAATTTAATAGTAAGGGAAATGCAGAAGATCAGTTGGAGAATTCTGCAGACAAAGGTGCTATTGCTAAAGACATCACCCTGGACTCAAAATTGACTGAACCCAGAGCATCTACATCTAACATCTCATTAGCTTCCAAGTTGGCACTTAAGAAAAACAGCATGAGCCCGCGGAAGAATATAGCAAAATCTAAGGTAGCAAGAGCCATTCAAAGAAGTCCTAAAAAACCTCCTGTTCTAAAACCAGCACAAAATAAAAAACTATCTCAAAGTACGTCAAAAAGTCTTCAGCCTGGCAGGTCAATGCCTGCTGTGGTTCCTCCAAGGAAGGTTCGGCAGTGTCCTGCACCAGCATCAACTGTAGAAAAGCTTGGTCTGAAGAAGGCACCCCGCAAAGCGTTTGAATTGTCCCAGCGCTCTTTAGAGAGCGTCGCTCAATTGCGTAGCTACGGTAAAGCTGCAGGGAGGGTTGCGCAGAAACAGAAGATTAAACAAATTGCTCCTCAGAACTTGTCTGTAAAACATAATAAAAAATTCCTAGCTTGCCAAGAACTTCAGTTTTTAATGCAGACAAGGCCCAAAAAAAGCATCAGGGTGAAAAATCTTGCAGGACGTTCTGAGAGTAGAAACAAAAAAGTCAGCAAAGTGGATCCAAGATCTACAGAACAAAAGCCTAAAAGTTTTCAGCTGGGATCCGTTGAAAACCAAAGAGGGAAAAAAAGGAAGGAGACTGGCTCTCTCTCTGCTGATGAGAGAAGATTTGAAATCCCCTCTTTGGTGGGTGAGACATATCTCTCGAAGATGCCTAGTTCTTCGGACTGGAGCAGAAGATCAGAGGATAACAGTGTGATGGCTCCTCCTGTACCTATGGATTCAAGTCTCTCTTCTGCTGCACTTGTTGGAGATGATAAAGATGAACCTTCAGGAAAAGGTTGCGTTGTCCAGCCTGAGTCTGAGGAGACAACTTCAAAAGAAAATGGCTGTAACCCAAGTGAAAACAGTGAAGATGATGATGATCTATTTTTAACTCAGTTAGATCCTGTGGATATGGAATTATGTTCTGAGGATGAAAGTGTTCAAGGTACTACTATAGCTAGTAAAAAACCCGAGGAAATGGATACTGCTGAAAGCCTTCAGCAGAACGAATCCTTGACTGTCCTGAAATGTAAGTACATGGACTGTATAGAAAAAGTGGAAAAACCAGGAGAGTACTGTAGTAAGCATTCAGCCACCAGCTCAGGAGAAGATCACCTGTTTGCCAAACCTTCTCTCCCACCCCCTCCTAAAACAAGGAAGCCTTCTACTACCAAAATTTTCAGCTCAACGAGTTCGTCACGGAATGCAGCCTTCAGCAAGGATCTCCAAAATGTTAAAAAGCTACCACCAGCTTCCAAAAGCAAAGTGAATGCAGCAAAACCAGTGGTGGCCAGGCCACCAAGTTTAAAGGCTATGCCAGTAGGAAATCAAACTTGCAAGCCTCCAAGTTTCAGTAATGTACCTCAACCCTGTATTCCTAAAAATGTTCTCCAGCCACAGAATAGACCAAATGACAATGCTTCAAATATTTCCAGAAGACCTGCCGGAGAACCCTATTATTCTTCCTTTCTTGGCACTCAGCAACGTGATCATAGTATTTTTGTTAATGGAGTTCTAAAGTGGACTTATGAAATGTTTGCAAACTGCAGCCAGTTTGGCCCTCCAAGTAGTCTCCAGCAGTCTGTAGTAGCCTCTGTTCCTGTCCGATTTCAGAGATACGATGACTATTTTAATACGTTCTTCCCCTTGATGATGCTAAATGCCTTTGAAACAGTAAGTAGCTATCTGCCTCTTGGTTTGTTTTCATCAACCCTAGTAAATTTTACCAAGAGATTAAAAACTGGTTTATGTCCTCTGTTTGCCTCCTGAACACGTTCAGATACAGAGGAATGAACTGGGGGAAAGAATCTGGACAGTTACGTTTAGGATGGTTTGGATCAGGGACTGTCAGTGTTATTCACCTCAGTGAAGCTTTTTTTTTTGGGTGTGCACCCACAATAGCATGAAAAAGGAGGGAAAAAGGATGTGGTTCCTCTTCCTTCGTAGCATATAAAGCTAAAATCTGAAGTCTTTCAATGACAGTGTCTGTAAAACGAGGATAAGAACCTAAAAAGCTTAACTTTAATAGTGAAAAAGACCATGTTCTTTCAATTAAAGTCTGTGTTTTCAAGTTCAGTCATTGCATCGCTTCTGCAGAAATAAGGTAGAAAATGAAGTCAGTACTTTAAATACTGGTATTTTAAAGTGAAGATGCAAAGCAGGGGGAACCCACATGTATTTTGAAGAGCTATGTAAGAAAGTACATTAAATGGGTGGTGGCTGGGGAGGAAGCACTTTGATTTGCCCTGTGTGTGTTTATATGTAATGTGTGAAAAAACCCAAACCCCAGACTCTAATGTCTTGTACCTGACAGTCCTTTAGCTTCCTTTTATTTCTGTTTAGTAGGCTTGCCCTTTGAGTCATGATAAGCTATTCTTTTGATAAACTAAACCTTTGAAAGTATTTTTATTTAGCTTTTTCTTTTCAACATGTAGCTGGCACAAGAGTGGATAGAAAAGCAGAGAGGAAGAGAAAAGAGTTACTACTTCTACTTGCAGAACTTCAGTGCTGACTCTAATACAGCAAATTTTACAGGTAAGAGTTTTGTGGTTGGTTTGGTGGTTTTTTTTTATAATACCCAGCAAATTTTACAGGTAAGAGTTTTGTGGTTTGTTTGGTGGGTTTTTTTTAATAAAACCGTCTTTTAATTTTCAGCTTATAATGAGCTAGCACTTACAGGTAGAATTTTTATTTTATTTGCTTTAAATATAGAAAGGACCTTGAATGTGCTGTTTACAGAATGCACACATTTTTCACCTGTTTTGCAGGGAATGTGTGCCTGAAGGGTTCGGTACAAAAAGTTATTTGATTGCTGTTGGGATACTTTCCATCTCACTCATTTGGGATTTTGTTTCTGCTTCTTCTGGTGAACAAAATAGTCTTTGACTTGCTTTATTTTTATATAATGCAATGTTCAGGCTTAAGAATGCAGGAGGAGGTAAAACTCTTTGGTCTCTTGCTATAGTTTCTAATAGCTTTAAAAGTTAACAGATGGGTATTACTGAAGTATATGCAATATGTTAATCACAGTTTAGTATTCTATGCAGTATAGTCAGAAAGTTATTGTAACCATTTTTCTTTTAATGTTCTAATTTTAAAATGTCTTCTGGGTAGCTCATTTTCAAGAAAGTGATTTGGCAAAGCAGCTTCATCCAAAAGAGGATGACTTAGTCTTTTTGGTGGTCCAGAAGAACAAAGACACCTTTGGGGAAGAAAATGAGACAGAGAGCCATGTAGTGAATCACGTTGGGCTTGTGACACGGTTTTCTCGTGCGTCTGGCTGTATAACTAGTAAGTAAAGGAGGCTGAAATAAGTGGGATTCTTCGTGCTACAGTAAAATGCTTCTTCATAGCTGCCTGTTGTTGTAGCGTACTACTTACAGAGGAAATGGGGTGGCTTTTACACTGTAGCATGTCTATTCCATGCTAGAAGCTTTGTAAAAAAGCCAGGAACTGAAGCTGCAGACCTGTTTTCCATGCATTTTTGTAGGGACTTCATTCAATACAGATGCTAATACCTTGTGTAAGAACAGAAACTAATGATGAGTAAGTGCTCTGTGTACATCTGTAGGAGTGCATCGCTGTAACATACGAAGTGCAATGAACTTCAGGGGTCTCACTGACTAAAATTTTCACTATCTTCTAGAACTGAAGTTGTGACTTTACCAGTATTGCCAAGTATCAGGATTAATGCTGTCTGATTAAAACGGCGATTTGAGTTGTTTTACAGAAGGCTGGGTTGGGTTTTGTGGCTTGGAGATTTTTGGGGGATTGAGGGAAAGGGGTTTGGATTTCTTGCAAGAATTAGTTGTTGGGTCCTTAATAGAAGGCAGCACCTGGTTCTGGTGAGTCCTTTGACCTGTTTGAGTTAACAATTTGGATATTCTTTGAATTAACAGCTTGTGCTTTTTGTTTGTTTTTTTTCTCCACCTACTTTTCTTAGGACAAAAGGAGCAGCATACTGTCTGTCATCTTTCTGTGCAAACTCGAGGCAATTTGTCCTTCTTCATAAATAAGCAAGTGAAGTGTGTGGTGGTTGGCTCCCTGGTGACCACACACCGAACATTCAATGGTCTGCTACTCTTGAGCAGGAGTCCCCTGGCTAAACCCATCATAAATCCAAGTTACAATGACTTCTGTCCTAGAGATTTCACTACGGCTTCAGAAGGCACTGTAAGTCCTGCAGCTAGACCTGATAGTTGGAGATGACAAAGTGGGCGTTTGATTCTCATGAGTTTTGCGAAACTGTTTTTGCGTGTTGTTTTTTGAGATGACCAAGTGCAAACAGACAAGCTTTGAAAGCAATGAAACACTGGGCTTTTCAGAGTCGGTTGATGGAGTGAATGGAGAGGAGTCTGAACTTGCTCAGCTGGTTCTGCTGTATTGACATAGATATTAGTAGTGCTTTTAGAGCAGCTTTCAGTTTTTTTTCCTTTCAGGAAACAAGGTGTAGTATGGAAAAGGTAATGCAAAATAAACGTGTGGAGAGTAAACGAAACCTTCATTACAGCTTTTGAGGCAGGTGTGGATCTAGAGCAAACTTAGAGTCAAAAGCTTCCATGCCCTTAAAGTGTTTGAGTCATAGCTAGAGGGGCGGGGGACATTCTGAAATACATAAAATGAGCGTGGAAGGTTTGATCAGCATTAAGTAATTAATTATTTTTTCCTCTGTCTGTCCCTTCAGGCATCGGATGTGAACGAATACAACGAAGGTCAAAAGAGAGCCATTGAGACAGCTTATGCCATGATAAAGCAGCATCCAGGGCTTCCTAAGATCTGCCTCATCCACGGACCGCCTGGAACAGGGAAATCAAAAACTATTGTTGGGCTTCTGTCTCGTGTTTTGAGAGAAGTAGGTGAATGTGATGTGCTTGTCATGTCTTGGTGTTTGGCTTCCCAATGGAAGTGAAGGATAGCTTAAACTAAATCGAAGTATAGTGTTGGTAATTACTGGGGGTGTAATTCATTAAGCTGACTTAATCAAATCTGGAGTGTATAGGGTGTGAAGCTGGAAATAGTACTTTTTGGGCATCTTGTCAAACACTTAAAAGTAAAAAGTATTTACTGGGGGTGTAATTCATTAAGCTGACTTAATTAAATCTGTACTGTATAGGGTGTGAAGCTGGAAATAATACTTTTTGGGCATCTCGTCAAACACTTAAAAGTAAAAAGTACTTACTGCAAAGTAAAATCGAGAAAACAGGCACAATCAGCAGAATAAACACTCGTTACCTAAAAAACCCTTTATATTTTGATGTATTAAAGAATGTTATTTGGTCTGTTCTGTTTAATGTTTTTTATGTTAGCATCCAGTAGATTCATCAAGTACATAATTGTTGAAGGGAATTTATGCAAATAGTATTAATACATTTGACTTGTCAATGTATGGCATGCTGTAAGAGATACTCAGGTGCAGTAGTCTCCATACTCTGCCTGCTGATTAAAATGTGTGTACAGTCTGGCTTTTAAATTGCAGATTACAACAAGCCTGTCTTGGTTTATTGTTAATTAATCTACAGAACACTAGGAATGAGGAAGCAACTCAAAAAACAAATGCCAAGATCAAGCCAAACCGTTTTCTAGTTTGTGCACCATCAAATGCTGCTGTAGATGAACTCATGAAAAAGATCATCATTGCATTTAAGGAAAAATGCCAAAACAAACAGGAGCCTTTGGGTATGGTTTATTTTTAAATTCTGTTTATATCTTAAATAGACAAAACCTGAAGGAGAAACTGGAACAGTTGATTACCCATAATACTTATATGCTACTCTAAGCTTTTTTCCTCTTGTAGAACACGACTGGCACATCCTCATACTGTTACTAATTTTAATGTGCATTTCTAAAAGGTGTGTTATTGCACTTTGTCTTTATATAAACATTGACATCAATACCGATATTAATTTGGTATTGATTTACAGCTGCTTTACTGATGTTACTCAGTAATCTTCTAACTTAAGAATTCTGTAAATTTTTAGATAAAGAAGCCTAAGAGTAGGAAGTGGTTCTGTTAATTCAAAATGACATTCTTAACTGATACCCACTGCTAAAGCATCAGCAACTTTTTTCTTTTAGCATCCAGAATTACTGAATTTTTTTTGTAGCGGCATTTGGATAAGTGCAAATAATTGTTGCAAACCCCTGAAAAGCAAAAAAGGAAAAGGCTTGTTTAATATCCATGATGTTTAATTTTTTTTTCCCTCTCTTTTTTGTAAACAGGAAACTGTGGTGATATCAACTTAGTGCGACTTGGTGCTGAAAAGGCAATCAACAGTGAGGTCCGGAGATTTAGCCTGGATAAGCAAGTTGAACATAGAATGAGTAAGTAACATGTAAATCAGACTTTCCTTCAGTCGTCTTTAAGATACACTTGGGACTGTGTGTCCTTAAAAAAGGAAGATCTGGTAAAAGATTTTTCTGCAATGATGTTTTATTGTTTTTCTCCATTCAGACTTTCCTTCAGTTGTCTTTAAGAACTTGATGCTGTTTTACACTTGGGACTGTGTGTCCTTAAAGAAGGAAGATCTGGTAAAAGATTTTCCTGCAATGATGCTTTATTGGTTTTCTCCAACTTAGTGGGAAAGTGTTAACTTCCATAGGGCCTAGAATCTAAGTAAAACCAAAGAAAATGAGCAAGATGACTTCTTGTTTGGCTGCTTTTTTTCTTTTTTTAATCTTGTGAAAAAATTCTTAAAAAAATGCATGTTAAAGCCATTATTTTTAAGCGATGTGGCTACAAAGCATTTGAGAGGTACAATTGGAATTGAGTCTTGAAAATGCATGTTAAAGCCATTATTTTTAAGCAATGTGGCTACAAAGCATTTGAGAGGTACAGTTGGAATTGAGTCTCATTATCTTCATTTTACAAGATAAGACCCCAATAGAGAAAAGCTAAAATGCAACAAAAAAAAAAGTTTTTCCATTTGTTCTTACTCTGTCGTGCATCTCAAGTTATTAAGTATTATTGCAACATAGCATTTTTTTTTTTTATTCCTCCTGTATGTTTGCCTTTGTTTTATTATAGAACGAAAACCATCTGACTCTGACCAGGATATTCAGAAGAGAAAAGCAGCTCTGGATCAAAAATTGGACATGCTGTCTCGTCAGCGAGCCATGCATAGATGTGAGAAGAGGGAGGTAGTAAGATAACAGTGTTTTTAATCTGGTTTGTGGGGTTTTTTGTATTCATAACTGAATACAAAGAGTAAAGAACTCTTCCTTTTAATGCTGTCTCTGAGCAGTAACTGTCTCTTTACCCGCTTTCCCAACTAAAGGAAATGTTGGAAAAAAAAGTTTTTCCATTTGTTCTTACTCTCGGTCGTGCATCTCAAGTTATTAAGTGTTATTGTAACATAGCAGTTTTCTTTATTCCTCCTGTATGTTTGCCTTTGTTTTATTATAGAACGAAAACCATCTGACTCTGACCAGGATATTCAGAAGAGAAAAGCAGCTCTGGATCAAAAATTGGACATGCTGTCTCGTCAGCGAGCCATGCATAGATGTGAGAAGAGGGAGGTAGTAAGATAACAGTGTTTTTAATCTGGTTTGTGGGGTTTTTTGTATTCATAACTGAATACAAAGAGTAAAGAACTCTTCCTTTTAATGCTGTCTCTGAGCAGTAACTGTCTCTTTACCCGCTTTCCCAACTAAAGGAAATGTTGGTTAGCATTGTGAAAGGGAATGAGGAACTTGACATCAGGATTATTTTTTTTTTTTCATCTATTTGTACTGGTATTTTCAGCGGGTCAGTCATGAATCATGCCACTTCTTGCTGTAGTGTTCAGTAGTCCTCATTTGGTTCTATCACCAGTGTAACCATGTTTATTAAACTTAATGATTTACCTTGTGTACTTCAAAGCTCTGCTTAACTGGAAGTAGTAAGATACCTTGCAATCTGAGATTTTGGTATGTGTGTTGCACTGAAGTTTTTCATTTTTTTTTTCTAAAAAACTTGGCATTTCTGCTCAAATCTTGGATTTCTGATGGTAAACCGCTTTTCCAGTTGCAGAGAAATGTAAAGTGTAGTATTGTTTGGAAAGTCTAAATGTATTGACCATTTTCTAAGAAACTGATCTGCTTTTTCAGACATCTTTGATATGAAAAGACTGAACAAATCTAAATGTTTAGGAAATGAATTAGGGTATGGGAAATGTGTGTTTATTATTCCTGATATTATTCTTCTCCCCTCCCTCCCCCCATCTAGAATCAAATGTTAGATGATGAAATTGGCAGACTTTCAAAGGAGAGACAGCAGCTTGCTTCTCAACTAAAGGAGGTAGGAATTTATCTTTAGGGCAGCTCTTTAATAAACCTCAACTAATCTATTTATATAATTGGTATCCTCTAATTGTGGTGGAGATCTGGTTTTGGTGTTGCTGGGAGTATTTATAAAGTAGTAGGTAAATAGATAAAAGATTGTGAGCAGAGTAAGTTACAGACAGCCTGGTGTGAAATCCAGGTGTACTCTGGCTGCATATTGCAAGAAAACCCTGTGTGGGAATATTCACTCTTACAGTTAATTTTAAACCAAATGTATATTTAGAAAAGAAGATAATAGAAACGTGCATGTCCTTATGTTCTAGGATGTATATTCATCACCACTTTCATGCCCCTTACAATCCTGCTGGGATTGAGATATGCTTTTAAATGTTTCTAAGTAAAGCAACAGCTGGAAGAATTTTTTGTGTGTGTGGAAAGGGAGAGGTTTGAAATTAGAAATAGGCACTGATATTAAAATGAGTAATTCAGGCTGAGTAGCATGAACCATGAGTTGAATTGAAGGTTCATCTTTTTATCTTTTAGGTCAGGCTGGATGGGGCTTTGAGCAACGTGGTCTGGTGGGAGGTGTCCCTGCCCAGGGCAGGGGGTTGGACCTCAATGATCTTTAAGGTCCCTTCCAACTCTAACCATTCTGTGATCCTGTGAAGTATATCCTGACTCTCAGTGGTCATGGAGGCTTGAAGTTAAAATTTGTTGGCAAACTAAACTTTGCTCACAATGACTGTGCCTAGATTGCATAGCTGTAGAGATACAGGAATACCTCCTTCCATTTTGCCTCCTCAATGGTGGTGTAATTAAATGAAAAGTATCACTTCAGTTAAGCAAACTTTTCACTTTGGTTTGTAATGATGGAGATAGTTTCGTTGGGATGATGTATTATCCGTGATCTGTTTGGCTGTTAGAATTGTCCAGGCAGTTACAAATTGCTCTAAGTTGGTTCAAGAGAACTAACAAAGAGGAGACATGGTGTCCTGTTGTACTTGAAGGTTCGGGGGCACTCTCAGAAGGTACAGACGGACATCATCTTGGAGTCTGACATCATCTGCTGCACGCTGAGCACAAGTGGAGGGAGTCTGCTGAAATCTGCTTTTTGTCGGCAAGGACTTGATCCTTTCAGCTGTGTCATTGTGGATGAGGTCAGGAAAGCTATTTAGAACTACAGCATGTTCTGCCTCTAAAGGGCTGCCTTGTTCTCTGCTTAAGCTACTTGTTGTTTGGTTGCTGGTGTGATATGTTGTGAGTTGACTGTCCCATCCCCACCGTTTAACTGCTAACCAGCCTGTCCTGCTATGCTGAGCCATACTTCTAATTTCTTCTTTTTCTGACTTGTTTAGTACTTTAATGGTAGATGGCTTTAACTTAAAAGTCATGGCTAAAGTGTGGCTCTTGCTATAGGGGTTTCCAGATGGTTGGGTTGTGTTCTTCTGCTTATTTAGTAATAAAAGAAAAATCTGTTTGGAGTTTTTTTTATTAGGGAAAAATTTATTTAGTAATAAAAGAAAAATCTGTTTGGAGTCTTTTTATTAGAGAAAAATTATTCTCTTTCTCTTTTTTTTTTTTAGAAGCCTTAAAAAGCATTTCTGAGAGATTCTGGCTCTGTTACAGGAAATTTAGCATACTTCCCTCCACTCCTTTGCTTACAACTTCTGCTTTTTGTCCTGTTTGTGTATGCAAAAGGCAGGGCAGTCCTGTGAGGTTGAAACGCTGATTCCACTGATCCATCGCTGTAATAAACTTGTCCTTGTTGGAGATCCCAAACAGCTTCCTCCTACTGTAAAATCAATAGTAAGTGTTTAAACTTTATTTTCTAATGCTATATAGTGGATATAGTATAAGAAGAGTATAGAAAATACATATAAAAGGAAAAAGGAAAACAGACATTTCGATGTCAGATCATGGTGAGTATCAGATAATAACTTCAGATAATAACTTTTACCCTGCCAAGTTTAGTCTCTGTTATTTGGAGGCCATATCAATACTGCCTTCAAATTTATGCATAAAACTAATACAGATGTCAGTGCAGCCACTGTAGACTTGCCTGGTGTAGCCTGAAACTGATTTCATGCACCATTAAGAATGGCTACGGTAACACAACCTTTGGTGCAACTCAGCACTTGGTTTGTGATGGACGTTGTGTTGCGGGAGGCTGCTGTGTGAGCTTCCATCGGTGTCACGTTCCTCAAGGAATGGAGGATGAACACAACCTGTTTGTGTGGGTTTTTCCTCACCCTATGGATGTGTTCTATGGATGAACATACAGGAGCACTTCCTTGTATCCAACTGTAAAGAGGAATTTTTTTAAACATCTGATAAAGAAAGGAGGAAAACTAGGCTGGCTTCTCTAGAAGGGCAAATTGTCTGGGGTCTATATGCTTGTTTAACAAGACCCCACCTTTTTGTTATTGTTGATGTTTTTACTTCTCTAGAAGGGCAAATTGTCTGGGGTCTGTATGCTTGTTTAACAAGACCCCACCTGGAAGATCTTGCTTTTTTGTTTTGTTGATGTTTTTGAAATTTTACTGTGTTGTGACTCACAAAGGAAAGTTGTCATGTGGAAGACTACACTGACAAATGTTCAGATTTATGCAGGTGATCTCTACTGAAGTAATAAGACTTAACAGAAATAGAAAGCTGTCATGCAAGTAGTTGTCGTTTTGTCAATGATTTAGAAGTTTGAAGGAAAATACTGACTAATTTTAAGTCTAAAAAGCAAAATCCTGTTCCGAATTTGCGACCTAATTCTCCAGAAGTCAGTCTCATGTTTTCCCTTTTGAAGAAAGCTCAGGAATATGGGTATGACCAGTCCCTGATGGCACGTCTGCACAGACACCTGCAGGAGCAAGTGGAGAGGAGTGGTTTACGAAGCCTGCCGGTTGTGCAGCTGACTGTGCAGTATAGGATGCACCCTGACATCTGCCTCTTCCCATCCAATTATGTTTATGACAGGACTCTAAAGACTGACAGGTGAGTAGCTCTGTTCTCCTTTCTCAGCCAGGGGTATTTTAAAGAAGTCTTTTCATATCAGGATATTCCTTTGAGTCTAAAAACTTTTGAGGTTGGGGAGGGTTAAATGCTTAATGGGACAAAACTTGCATTCCAATTGCTAGTGCTGACTGTGATATGTAAATTAATGAGATCACTTAAAATTGGGCATGCTTATTGCTTAGAGGTCATTTTCAGGTCTCAGTATATGCAGGTATCACTGAAAATTAAGGACTCTGGGCAAAAAAAAGAAAGCTGAAAGTTGCTTGTATTTGATAACCATGGTGTAAATAAATGAATTTCTGTATGGTTACCTGGTGATAAAAATGTTATTTACAGAGCAACGGAAGAGAACAGATGTTCTTCAGAGTGGCCATTCCAGCCATACCTTATTTTTGATGTAGGAGATGGTCACGAGGAGCGAGACAATGAGTAAGTCCTGTGTCCTACTCTGCCAAGTTTTAGATTTGCTGAGAATTCATTTCCTGCAGAACAGTTGTTTTCTGTCGTCTGTTTTTCCCAATATGCATTAAGTAGCCAGAACTGCATTTTCAACTTTATCTGATTTAATTTTGAAAAAAAACCTGTTTACTAAAGCACGTGTTAAATGGGTTTGGGTTTTTTTTTTTAAATCTGAAGCTGGGTTTGATGCTGGTCTGACTATCTGTGAGATGCCAGTGAATGCCTGCTGTCTCTGCTAACTCTACTAACAGTTCCTGAGTTCCTGATTTATTTTCTTATCAGTGACTTTCCTTTCACAGCTGCTTGCTGAGGTAATGCCAGAAGGTGGCAGGCTCACTCCTCCCTTTTGCTTATTCTGTAAGGAAAGCAAAGCTCTGTAGTTTTAAGACTTAACATAAGTGCAGCCTGTCACTGCTCACACTTCTTGTTCACTGCTCCTCATGGCCTCCTTGAAAACTTCTATGTGAAGAAGGCTGTGAAAGTTCAAGACAGGCTTTGACTCACAATCCTCCTATAAATCGGGCTGAAGCATTGAATTTGAATGTATTCCTGTAATGTTTCCACTCTGTCTTGTTCAGCTCTTTTAGTAATCCTCAGGAAGTGAAGCTGGTGATGGAATTAATTAGAACAATTAAAGAAAAAAGGAAGAATCTGGGTCTTCGTCACATTGGAATAATTACTCCTTACAGCGCACAAAAAAGGAAAATTCAAGAACAACTGGACAGAGCGTTTAGGAATAACAGGTAAAAAATCCCATGTGTTTCTAAAATGGGACTTGGATTTGCATGTTAGTCCTTTGTTTATCCTCTTAAAACAATAGCAAAAATTCAAGGTTTTTCTGTACAGTCTGTACTTATGGATTCCTTTAAAGGGCACGCACAAGCCTTTTGCTTAAAGCAGGCATGGCCTGTCTGTACCATTTCTTGGTTATTACTTGTATACATCCTCTGTTTGTATTGCTGTTCTGAATAAAGCTGATTTAAAATAAAGTCTCAAATTCCAAGCTACATGGACCTGAACAGCTTTTCAATGGTGATGGCGGCCTCGGAAAAGCAAATTTAGTTTTAGGTTCATATGCTGAATCTTTTCATACACAGAAGCAGAAGTTTACCCTGGGTTATTTTGACAGCGGATCATTAAGCATGGTGTTTAGGCTATTTCCATTAGTGTGTTGCTTAAAACTTTAACTAACATCATTTAACACCTTGCTAATCCTTCCTTCAACAGCCCAGGAGAAGTGGACACAGTGGATGCATTCCAGGGACGAGAGAAAGACTGCATCATAGTGACATGTGTCCGGGCAAACAACACGAAAGGATCAATTGGGTATGTTTCTCTTGAGTGATTTGCAAATCCCATTTCCAGTGACACTCTAGATATAGTCATTATATTTTCAATATGACCAGTAAGAAAGTTACTAGAGAACAAGTCACTACAGCCAGCAAATTAAAGGGTATCTAAATGCATGAATTAATGTTACTGATTTGAGATCTCTGGCAAAATTATCTGGTGTCATGGGCAAGGTGTGATGGGAAAGTTTGCATCACCTTTACCTGTGGTCTTGGAGCTGAGTGAAGTATTTTGGTCTCCAAGGTTGCTAAAGCAGCATTAAATTTACGCTGAAAGTGACTTGCAAAGGGAGGAGAAAATTCTCCAAGAAATGGCAATGGATTTGTTTTCCTTTCCTGAGAAAATAATCTTGTAATCTTTCAGGTTTAAAAGCTGTTAGGAATATTTAGTGGTCTTTCAAGTTCCCTTCCTCCCCCTGCCACAAAACATAGAGAACTCTTAATATTTGTGCTGCTGGATCCACTCCCCGGGTCTGCTCTTTGCCTCTCATCTTTTTTTCCTGCACTGCCCAAATTTTCTGGGATGGCTCTGGAGCTTTTGCAGTCTTTACTGCAGGGGTTGTGAATTTTAGAAGAGCAGGTCTCAGTGCTACCACCACAGTACGAGGCATTGATGTGGGACTTGTTCAAACTAAGTTGTACAAAGACTTGACTTTGTATTGCAAACTTCGTTAGTATAGAATAAGATGTACATTTTGGGAGCTTTTTCATTAGAGAAGAAATAGTTGGTATCAGTTTTAACAAACTTTAAAAAGACAAGTTTTGGTAAACAAGCCCTAACAGAAATCAGGCTTTAAGAATATGCTAAGATTTCTTTGTTTAGGTTTCACTACCTTGATTTGTGATCCCACAAAAACAGACTAGACAGGAAAATTTTCTTCTGCAAGGAATATCCATTTCACTCTTGAAGCATGACAAAGCAAAAGTCCTCCTTCATGTGCATCTACTGCAGGTCACCTTTAAAATAAAATATTCATGTCCAGCGTTCAGTACTTCAGTAGAAAATTTTCCCATTAATCATGCCAAATATTATTAAACTATTTCAGTTCAAGACAAAAAGAAGCTTAAAGTCTTGATAGGTGAAGTGAGGTTGATGTCTTCTGTACTTTGAGGAACACTTAAGGAAGCAGTGGTTGGCATTAAGAGGGGACTTTCTCTAAGAAAGGAAAAGTCAATGGCAAGAGCTGGAAAGAACTGGAATTTCCTGTGAGGAGTCAGAGTGGTGAAAGAAAGAAAACACAATTCATGCAAAGCCCTTCACGTAAGGCAGGGCTGCTGCAGTGGGATCTGGGAATGGGTTATGAAGTGCTGCTGCCTTTGTAACTGCTTCCGTGATCTTCATTTCACTGAAATGGAATATTATATCTTTTTCTCGTAACACATGGTAGTAGTAGTTCAGGAGCTTAATTCTGTCTTGTCACCTAGGTTTCTGGCAAGTCTTCAGCGTTTGAACGTTATAATTACCCGAGCCAGATTCAGCCTCTTCATCCTTGGAAGACTGAAAACGCTCATGGTAGGTACAGTGTTAATCAAATGGTCTTCTGTGATCCACCCTTTTGGGTCAAGTCAGGGTTGGGGAGGTGAAAACCATTGTTGGACTGCTCCAGTCTCTGAAAGGAGACCCTTTTCTAGTGTACTGTTAAATTAGTACAATCCAGGCCTCTGAAGGGTTCTCTTTGAAAGCTTTGGCTGTAACTGTCATACAACATTTTAAAAAATCAGAATGGTTTTCCTTGCTTCCAAGAAGGAAAGTCAGAAATTACTCTCAATATTTTTAGTAACTAAATTGTAACACAGTCCTTTGCAGTTCAAGTGTGGGGGTTGTGAAAAATCTCTCTGCACAAGATAGGATGGTGGCAGAGAGAATTTTCTGCTTGATCCTTACTGTTTTTCCAGCTATTGCAGTTCTCACTGGATACTTGAGCAAGGAAAATGGTTTCTTTTTTTTTTTTTTAATAAAAAAAACAAACCATCCAGACCACCCCAGAACATCCACCTTATCTTCATACTATTGTTTTTGACACCACTTTGCATAGTCATGTGGTTTCTGAGGATACTCTTTTGAAATGGGTATTTCTGAAACAGAACTGGATGTTTGGGGAACTCTAAAGGCCCACTGAATGTGTAGGGAATGCTCTTGAATAGACATAATGTCTTATAGTACTAGATTTTTGTTCTCTTTCCAAGGGTGCAGGGGGTGGTGGCTGCACCACTAGAGGGCATTAAAGCCATGCTCCTGTTTCACTCTGTACCAGAGAACTCTTTTGGCCTGCATAAATATAGAAATTGTCATTTTAAGTAGTAGCTCACTGATGGTTGAAAGTACCTTCCCTGTGTTACAGCAGCCAGAGTGCCTACTGCTGTTTTGCAAGTGAAACATAAGATTCTTCCATTCCAGAAGGAACATAACAGTGGTTTCCATGACAGTTGTGTCAGGTACCTTGATTAAAGAGGTTGTGCATCCTCTGACACCTCTGTCCATTTGTGTTGATTTCTTTCTGGTAACTGTTTTCTTTTTTTTGGGGGGGTGTTTGTCTTTTTTTCTTTTTTTTAAAGGAAAATAAGGACTGGAATGAGTTGATTCAAGATGCTCAGAGAAGAGGTGCCATTATCAGGACATCAGAAAAGAGCTATGGGAAAGATGCTCTTAAGATTTTGAAGCTTAAGGCCACAGTACGGCTCCCGACCAACGCGGAGACAAAGAAACCTCCTTCCTTCCAGGCTTGTTCTTCCAGCAGCAAGAAGGGTGAGCTTGCAAATCCACCTCCTCCTCCACCAAGGGAGGCCAGTAGCCCACGGGATGTCACCTCTGGGGCTGGCCATGCGGTGCCCCAAGGAAGCAGAAGGCCCCAGCAGCCCCAGGTGGCTCAGGTGGTGGTAGACTCCAGGAGAGGCAGTGCCTCTGTGCCTGGGGAGGCTGCGGTGCTTCCCACCGATCGAGAGAAGCCACGGGACCCGAGGCTGGCCAGCATGGCTAGTAGGACTGAAACAAAAGGGAAGGAGCAGGCCTCGAAGGACAGCGGTCAGACAGCCCAGAGCAATCCAGGGGCAACATCACAGCAAGGCCTCAACGCCGCCTCAGCTGCCAGGGATCAGATGTCCAGAACTGAAACTTCTAAGAAGCCACAGCCCGTGATGAGACGATGTGACGTGCCTTCCACGTCGGCTTACGCAGCTCGGCATGGGGGTGACCAGAGAGCTTCTGTATCCAAAAACGGTTCAAAAGACTGCAGTGAAGGAGGTCAGAGCAATAGCAGTAGGTGGAACAAAGACTATCGTGTATTAAATAGGAGAACATCAGAGGAATCGCTGCAGAACAGAGACTCAAACAGTGCCAAGCGAAGGAAGACCTTTCACTGACTTTACTAGTGGCTCGTTACTGAAAATCTATTTCCAGATTTCTGTCTAGCAAGGGCTGTATTTTAAATTATTTAGTACACGTGGAACTCCCTTCTATTGATACCACTGCTATCAGTAGATCCATCTTTTTCCCATCTTGTCCCTAATTGTGAAGGGGACTTTACAACTGACAGCTCTGAGTTTTTGAAAATAAAAGTTGGATAGCTGCATTGCTTGGAAGAGCAGTGAATTTTGTCAGCTAGGAACTTAAGGTTGTAAATGTTTAACAATGTATATTTGTACAGTATACAGTTATTTTAAGATTTAATTTGGCAGATATCTAGCTTCTTGTTTCCTTGTGCAAATGCTAATTTCTTAGTGATGTAATTTTTTTAATGAAGAACCAGAGCAAAGCAAAACACCACCAAAACCAACCAAAAAAACCCCCCTCAAATAACAAACAAACCCCCCAAATCCAAAAATCTAGCCAGACTTCTTTTTCTCTTTGATTAGAAAGCCTAATTTATTTGAGAGCAAAGAGTGAATGTTGGAAATGTGGCAGCAGTGATTCTTCCTCATGCTCCACGACTGCCTCAGGAATGGCTGAAGGCAGATGTACATAGGTTGAATGGAGAGTATTCTACTTATTTTGTATATTTTACTGCCTGTTTTTATAGAAAAAGAAGAGCTTTCGTTTGTACAAATGTGCCTTGAGTTTTGCTTCTGCTGCTTCATCTGTTGGAATCCTTTTCTTGTTGCAGTGCAACACAAACTGCAGGTTAAAGCCTATGAGGTCTGTGGTCCCAGTGAGTCCGTGTGAGGAATAATCAGCAGCACCCTGGAATCTTAAGTTGAAGATCTAGTTAACACTTATTGGTAATGACAACTTGAGTTTCTTTGTATAGAGCTTTTGGAGATCTACAGCGATAAAAACAGCAAGTGGTTCATTCTAGGTGTTACTACTGGATTCTTTCCACTGTCTTAATGAAGGATATATAACCAGTGAAATGGGGTGGGGGAGAAAAAGGAGCTATTTTTAAGAAAGCCTTCCTCTCGTCGTAACATTTCACAATAGAAGTGGAATTATTTCTACTAAGAATGCCTTTGGGTCACTGTGAAGTATCACTTTCTTCTTCTGGAGTATGTCTGTCTCCAGGAGGTGAAGAGCAACATTTCATGGGCAGAGTTTTGCACGGCGGTGCTTCTGCTGGTGAGTGCAGTGTTACCACCAGCTGGGTTGCTGTCTACTTGCATCTGTGTTAAAACACAGCCTGTGATGAAGCAGCCACTCTGCTGCTGGCCCTTGTGAACTGACTTGTGCTCAGCCACTATAATGGCAGTAGTTTTCCTTAAGCAAATGTGCTGCCAGACTTCTCTGGGCGGAATTTAGCCATAATCTTTAGTTTTGTTTCTGTCCCGACACATTGATTGTGATTAGTGTCAGCTTTGTCCTTCTAACCCCCTGCTGAAGGGGTGCATGTCATCCAGCTCAGTGAAACACAGGTGCCTTACCACCCAAAACATAAGGTAGTGGGTCAAACAGTAATTGCTGGGGAAACTTATATCAAACACAGGTGCCTTACCACCCAAAACATAAGGTAGTGGGTCAAACTGTAATTGCTGGGAAAACTTAATGTATCCCAGCCCAGAACAAACGTGCTTTACTGGTACCAAAGGCTTCATAGGTATGTTGGTGTCATGGTGTTGGTGTCATCAAACCAGGACAGTTGGGAGGCTTTTAGTTGCTGTGTGAGGCTGCCTAGCTCATTGTGCTGCATAGTACTGAGCATTTTAAGAGAGTAGGGGAGAATCTTTGAGATGCCTGTGAAGTGAAATCAGAATATTTGCATTGTTCAGCTTTAGTCATTCATTATGTTGCAGTCTTAATCGCTTCAGTGAACCCTGACTTTCTCTTGTCAGCAGTACATGCACTTCTAAAACTGCTGTGGCTCTTCCCTGATGTTGTGTGCAGTCTGTGAGGGGGAAGGCTGCCTGAATGAATCTGTCACCACTCGGACGTTTCGGTCACTCCCACATCACAGAATCCGTGCCCTGTGTGTTATCTCCTTTTATGTTACTGGGAATACTTAAACATACTGTCATCTTTCAAACCTCTTGGCTCCTCTTGGCAGGGCTGTGCTGACCTGCCTGCTGTTTCTACTTAGCACATTAAAAAGGCTGCTATTCTGCAACCGGCTGTAGGATCCTATAGCTGTGGAAGCCATTTAGACTGTCTTTATGTAAATAAAGTGATGCTGGCAACGGTGTGAATGAGGAAATGCTTTTCTGGTCATTAAATAAAATTTGGTCAAAAGAATGGTTCTTTGAAACTTTGAGTTTTCTTTTTCCTTAATCAGCATTTCAGAACGTGTTCTTCTGAGAGCTTTACTTACCGCATGATGTAAGGAATTTTGTTGTAACATTTTATTTTCATTGTATTTTGTACCCATCACATAGGTCTGTACTCTCTAATGCCTGTATTTTTCCATAAATCATTGTTGAGGTGTGGTCAGTGGCTCAGACCTTTTTTGCATATTTATTACCAGGTTTATATGCCTTAAGTTGCCAGTCTTTCAGTGGTAGCTTATTGCTACCACATCAGTCTGTATTGTTAATGGTGTATAATAAAAAAATATTTGGGTTGTTGCACTTAAAAAACTTTTCCCTCTTCACATGTTCAGAGTAGGTTTGTGGTTTTAATTAACTTCCCCCCCTCATGTCTCTCTTATACCCATAACATGGAAAACCAAGCAAACTCCAATCCAAAGCACACTTCTCACGGACTCAAAGTGTGCATCAGGGAACAAATGGATGAGGTACAATTTTCCTAACTTCTCTGCTCTTTCCATTGTGTGTTATAAACCAGTGAGTGGTGTCAGAGTTGATGTCAGTAAGCTGAGTGTAGACTTGGCTTTATTTGTTTACTATCATCTCAGAACCAGTGACAGTTGGAGGAGGTTGTGCAGTGATTGTTCTCTTCTGCTGAGTGTTAAAGTCAGAAACATCAGTAAAAGAACAACACAACTGTATGTAAAACAGTTTAATTGGAAGTTGTGCCAAAAAACTCCAGAAGAAGCAGCATTTGGGTTTTTTACAGAGGCTTCCATGTTTCCTCCAAGCTCGGGCAGCTTAATTCTCAGTGTGAAACCAGTTCCCTCTCTGGTATTATTGGTCTTTGATGTCACTAAGAAGGGAAAATCTCTTGTAAGTGTTGGACTATGTTTTGCTCAAAGTTTAGGGTTTCTTTAATTCTTTGTACATGAAATAGGCTTTCTGGTCAAGGTGGAGTATGGGTCTGGTGATTCCTTTTTCTTTTAAGGTTTGCTGTAATTGTTTTCTTTGTCATTACTCCAAATTCTGGGGATGTGAGAACAAACCAGAGCTGTGTAATAACAACGATACCCGAACAGGTATTTGCCTAATGAGTTTTTCTTCTTACCTCTGTCTCCCATTGAGACTTTTTTTTTCCCCCCTCTTTTTTGCATTTGCTGAAGTGCAATGAGATGCTGGGGTTTACTTTTGCCTACAGAAGGGAGAGACCAGAGTAGCCAACAGCTGGAGCTCGTTCACAGCCTGTGGTGATGCTGGGGATAAGCAGAACTACAGCCCTAAAAATGCAAGACGTTCTCTCTCGTCTGCATGAATAAATGATGGATGAAACGACTGCTGTATTGTAAATGGAATTTATAATGTTAATGATATAATACAGTCTCTTGCCACAACGAGTCCATTCCCAAACCGTATATAAGGTCTCCTTTCTTGTCTTTTTAAGATGCTTGGAAAGGAGCCCGATGCCTTATTCTTTAGTGCAAATACATGTAAGCTAAGCAGCCTTCTACGTGGAGTATCGCTGGCACATGAGACCTTCCAGCCATGTGTACCTGTCTTCTAAGGCCTCAACTAATTTGCCACCAAGTCCCAGGCAAATAGTGACAGAAAAGAAAATGAAGGCGGTTTGAGTGCCCCTTACATTTGGTATTGTAGAAATGTAGAAAACCTTGTTTTATAGCCTGACAGGCTACGGTGGTCTGGCTGTCCAATTCTGTCACCGATTTCACTGTTGAATTCCCTTTGCTACAAAGAAATCCCAGCAGTTTCCCCTCTCCTTGTTCTCATCCCTGAACCAGCAGAGTGCTGGCCCAGGATGGAGCTTTTGGAGCCCAGTATTGTTGCTGGCCAGGGGAGAAGGTAGTTACGTGGTAAAAATGGGTGGTTTTAGACTTTCCTCGCAGGTTTTACCCTGTGGTGAAGCTTGTTACGATGCCTGGAGAATCGAAATTATAAAGGAGCTTTTAGGACAGTCTGAAGCTTTTCCTGCATCTCAAATCAGCGTGCAGGTTTTAGCCAGTTTCTGTGTGGTTGTGGCCAAACTCCAAATCCCCGCTGAGAAGATGGTGATAACAAAGCTCTTCAAAACCCAGCTCTGCTCTAATTTCTAAGCGAGACCACTCAGCTCCTCCTTTATACTTTGGTTTATTTACATTTGGGACTTTTCCTGAAAGCCAATTCTAGAACAGAATGGGTTGGTGAGACTGTTAATTTTATTACCACTCAAGTGTTGGTTCTCTTGCTGCTCCAGCCTCGGCGAGGCTCCTTATGAATCGCTCTTGTAGATGAGATGTCTGCCTTCTCGTCTTCATGAAGCCAAATAACATACCTGGTAAGTGCTGATGGAGTTTTTTCCCCCCCTCTCCTTCTGTCTCCACCTCCCAGGGGCTGGAGGCTCAATGTTTCATCTGGCAAGTGAGCAAATAAGCCTAAAGCCACTCTGCTGGTGGCTCCTCTGCAGCTGGGGCTGCAACTCAGCCTGGCCGCAGCCGCCTGTCGCGTCAGGCAGATTTCTGTTGCTTTCTGTTACTTTTGGTTATTTAGATTTGTCAGTGCTCTAAAATAGTTAAAATCAGAGTAGAATTGGAGGTAAACAAGGAAAATCAAAAGCTCTACTTGTGCTGTTTGAAGAGGTCACTTTTTTTTTTTTTTTTGCAGACAGAAGCGTAATTTAAAAACTTTTTGAAATGAATCGAATGCTGGCTGCACGCTGGCGACTGGATACACATGAAAACCTCTTGAAAGAGTGCAAGTGGCTTTTCTCGGAAAGAGAAGTACTTTTTGGTTAACCTTTCCACCAGTAAAGCATCAGGCTCATTGGACAACTCCCATTTGGAAGCATTAACTGATGTACAAATGTTTCTATTTTAAAGATGATGAACTTTGGGATCTGCGGGTACTCGCTGTGCTGGTTTCTCTCTGTGTTATTTCAATAATGCTCCATCCTTTGTGTAGACACCTGTGTGCTAACAGACATCTGCACTTAATGCTTCTTCAGCGCTGAAGCTCTCAGAAGCTTTGAATTATTTTCTTAAACACCAAGTTTAAGTTTTGTAAGAGAGGGTTGGTTTTTTTTTTTTTGGGTCTTGTAGTGGTTTGTATTTTATGATTGCAAGTTCTCCAGCACCATTGGACAAGTAAAGTGCCATCCTGGTCTCTGACACGCAGGGCTAATAGCTTTGTGTCTGAGCTTAGAGATGAGCTGTGCTGCCAGGTCTGCAGGCAGAGCCACCGGAGGGAAGTCGAAGGTCCCTCCTTTGGTTCTGCTCTTGTTCACAGCCCAAAAGCCATTTGGTTTCTTCTGTGAGATGGAGCACGTTGTGTTTGTCCTCTGCAGTTGCTATTTCACAGAGATCTTTGTTTCTGCGCGACTAGTAAGAGCCTAAGAATGGTAACCGTAGGGTGGAGGGTAGACTTGTGTTTTGGTTTGGTTTTGCTCCTCACCAATCATCTTCAACACTCAGGTGCACTTTGGCGTAGCTGCAGGAGGGTTAGCACCACAGCTTCCCGATTCTGGTTCAAGTTATTGAACTATTTGTTGGGCTTTGGCTAAAGAAGGCCCAGGACTGAACATTACTGTTATTACAGGGAGGTGGGACCATCTCTGGAGCTGAGTTATGATGTCTTGTCTTAAAAACAAATGAACAAAACCCCAACCAACCCAAATTCGACCAAGAGTAAATCCCCCAACCCAAAAAAGATCCACTGCAGTGGTGTATCCCCTTCAGCAGGCTTCATTCCTGGGCTGTTCTGAGCTTTGTTGTGCCCTTCTGAGGTTATTTTCTATGGGAATTCAGTGCTGCTGCTTGGCACGTTCCTGCTTGTACAGCAATAAAAGTGTGTGTTTGCAGGGAACCTGCCCGGTGCAGAGTTTGTCTTTATGAAGTAGTAAATTTTCTGTCGCTTAATCTAATATTCTAGAGAAAAACACTAGTAGGGGGAAAGGAGAATGTTGCTTCACCTACCAGAAGTGCCATTAGAGATCTTGATCTTGTTACAGTCTGTTCTATGCTATTACTTGTAAGAACAGTAACGTATAAAGATTTTAAATATATCGCAGTCAGAAAGTACAAAGAAGGAGCAAGTGTCAATAACAGCAGCCAGCAGCCGGCAGCGTTAAAGAGAGGGAGGCAATGCTTGTGCCAGCCCACTCCCTCAGAGATCAAACCTCAGCAGGGCGAGTTTAACCCTCATTTATTTTATGGCAGATTAAGTCCTGTGACTCGCCTCTGTGATGTTAAATGCTGCTCGAAATACGCTCTAGATTTCTTTGTGTTGCTCTTTGATGTGACAGTATCTGTCCTGCGCCTTCACTTTTCTTTGTTTTTTTTCCTCCTAATGCTTCTTCAGCGCTGAAGCTCTCAGAAGCTTTGAATTATTTTCTTAAACACCAAGTTTAAGTTTTGTAAGAGAGGGTTGGTTTTTTTTTTTTTGGGTCTTGTAGTGGTTTGTATTTTATGATTGCAAGTTCTCCAGCACCATTGGACAAGTAAAGTGCCATCCTGGTCTCTGACACGCAGGGCTAATAGCTTTGTGTCTGAGCTTAGAGATGAGCTGTGCTGCCAGGTCTGCAGGCAGAGCCACCGGAGGGAAGTCGAAGGTCCCTCCTTTGGTTCTGCTCTTGTTCACAGCCCAAAAGCCATTTGGTTTCTTCTGTGAGATGGAGCACGTTGTGTTTGTCCTCTGCAGTTGCTATTTCACAGAGATCTTTGTTTCTGCGCGACTAGTAAGAGCCTAAGAATGGTAACCGTAGGGTGGAGGGTAGACTTGTGTTTTGGTTTGGTTTTGCTCCTCACCAATCATCTTCAACACTCAGGTGCACTTTGGCGTAGCTGCAGGAGGGTTAGCACCACAGCTTCCCGATTCTGGTTCAAGTTATTGAACTATTTGTTGGGCTTTGGCTAAAGAAGGCCCAGGACTGAACATTACTGTTATTACAGGGAGGTGGGACCATCTCTGGAGCTGAGTTATGATGTCTTGTCTTAAAAACAAATGAACAAAACCCCAACCAACCCAAATTCGACCAAGAGTAAATCCCCCAACCCAAAAAAGATCCACTGCAGTGGTGTATCCCCTTCAGCAGGCTTCATTCCTGGGCTGTTCTGAGCTTTGTTGTGCCCTTCTGAGGTTATTTTCTATGGGAATTCAGTGCTGCTGCTTGGCACGTTCCTGCTTGTACAGCAATAAAAGTGTGTGTTTGCAGGGAACCTGCCCGGTGCAGAGTTTGTCTTTATGAAGTAGTAAATTTTCTGTCGCTTAATCTAATATTCTAGAGAAAAACACTAGTAGGGGGAAAGGAGAATGTTGCTTCACCTACCAGAAGTGCCATTAGAGATCTTGATCTTGTTACAGTCTGTTCTATGCTATTACTTGTAAGAACAGTAACGTATAAAGATTTTAAATATATCGCAGTCAGAAAGTACAAAGAAGGAGCAAGTGTCAATAACAGCAGCCAGCAGCCGGCAGCGTTAAAGAGAGGGAGGCAATGCTTGTGCCAGCCCACTCCCTCAGAGATCAAACCTCAGCAGGGCGAGTTTAACCCTCATTTATTTTATGGCAGATTAAGTCCTGTGACTCGCCTCTGTGATGTTAAATGCTGCTCGAAATACGCTCTAGATTTCTTTGTGTTGCTCTTTGATGTGACAGTATCTGTCCTGCGCCTTCACTTTTCTTTGTTTTTTTTCCTCCTTTTTTCAAAGTACAAGTTCACTGGCCTTCTCTCCACGAAGGTGGCTGTGTTTTGGGGGCACTGGCTGTGTATGCTGTATCCGCACTGTTAGGCTGGAGGATGCTGCAGGCTCTTGCACTTTTGGAACGTGGGCTGCTCCCAGCACAGACTCCCCCGAAAAGCAGGGTGAGCTGCAGAGACAGGACCATGGAGACACCAGCATTGAAACACAACAATTGTTGGTGGAGGAGGTTTTGGAGTAGCACTCTGGCAAGGACACCAGACCTGGAAATGCCAGTGGGGGCTCGAGGCTGGATTGTGTGGGGCTCCTGGGCTGGGTCTGGGAGCAGGAGGGCTGGGGAGAGCTGGGGCAGTGACCAAGGGCTGCTCCCTTGCCAAGACAATTACCCCAGAACTGAACGTGCTGGGGGTGGGGGATGTCTCCTGTCTTCTAGTCCTCTGCTCAGTCAGCTCCTGGCTTGGTGAATCTTTGGACATGGCAAAATTAAAGCTTTTAGGATCGTGACATTCCCATTGTTCTGATGGACTTACATCATCTCTCGTCTCTGGTTTCTCCTGCTTCCATTTATGTACTTGGCTGCAATGCTTCTTCTGATAGGGGCATGTTTGCGAGTCTTAAATGAGTTGATCTAGTCCCTGTGCTCTCTATACTGAAGTCCCACTCTGTGGGTGCTTAAAAATACTCCAAATATACAGATTTTTTTTTCTGGGGAGGGGTATCATGGCATCGGCTCTGGGAGGGGCTGCAATGGGGCTGGACAGCTGAGGTCCCCCTGGGGAAGCATCCCTGGACTACCCAGCCTTCTCCTGCCAAAGGCTCATTTGGAAATGGCCTTTCCATACAAGACCAGTGCTTAATATATCACTCGGGCTTTGTTCATTGTCTACAGTTAGTAGCCTAACCTAGGTTCAGCAAAGTAATTAGGAGAAATAATTAACAGCTCTCAGCGACGAGGCAACCTCTCTCTCCCTCCCCTCTCCCTCACCACGTGCTGCACCTTGGTAGTTACTCAGAAAACACAAGAGGACGTTATCAATCAAAAAATAAGTCTTTACCTGTAATTAACTGTGCACACAAAAAGGAAAACGTGGTGATCAAGCAGCAATTGATAGTTGCTTTACTGGAGGAGGTTACACCAGAATCAAACGCTCATGGCAAAACGTCCCTTTAAGTTGTGGTTCTTTTATAACATTTAATCCAAACAAAAATAAGTCTCTACCAAAAAAAGTAATTTGAACCGTACACTATACGGAAATGTGTGGATAAGACACCGCACTCCTCACGTACCGTACGCCTGATGGCCCCTGTGTTCTCCGTGAGTGCAAGAAAACAAAACCCAGCAATGAAAATACAAAATCAATGCAGCAACTAGAGTTGTAGGCAACAGTATGTGCATGGCCAGACCGGGCCCGTGGTGGGATGTGGGACTATGCAGCAAGGATGGACCAGAGTCCCCCCCCTTCCCTCCCTCCCCTTCCCCTGCCTGTTGTGTTACGGGGCTCTGGAGTTGTCATGACAGGCTCTTTCAAAACAGGACGCTAAGAAGAGGAAAAATAAAAACACCCCAGCCTATACCAAAGTAAAGAAAGTAATAATAAAAAAAATATCCCTTGGATCGCGGCACTATTTCACCAGGGCCCCCGGTGACCCCGGCCCCGGGTTGCCCTGTGCAGGGCAGGGAAGGAGAGTCGCTGGGTGGAGGGAAGGACGGGCCCCGTGTCCCCACCGGGCTGCGGGACCGTGGTCCTGGCACAGGCTGCTGCAGTCCCCGTGCCCCTGCCCGGCAGCCGGCTCTGCGCTGCGGCCACCCCGGCTGCTGCCGGGACGGGTCCATCAGCAGGAGTCAGCCCCTGGTTTTCTGCATACCTCTCTGCTTGGAAAAGTGGACCAAAAAGACGTTGTGCAAGTCCTAGCGTGAAGGAAGGCGGAGGAGACGGCGGGGAGAGCCACCCCGTTACCTTGGTCTCCCCGGGTCCCTCGGGTGATGGTGCCTGGGCTGGGCTCCTTCCTCTGCGGCTTCAGAGGTCCACCCAGCCGCGCAGCTGGAGGGCCAGCACCCCGAGGAGGATGGTGCCGAGGCTGCTGTGGGCGCTGGAGGCACCGTCGCAGTCCTGTTTGTCGGCTTCACACCTGGATTGCTGGCACAGGACCCCCTTGAAGCCCACGGGGCAGATGCAGCGCTGGTTCTGGTAGCAGGTGCCACCGTTCTGGCAGAGCAGGAGCTCGTCGTCGCAGACGTTGGCTGCGAGGTGGGAGGGATAGAAGGATGTGGGTGTTAGTCTGGGGTATGTCAAAAACCTTGGCTGCAGCAGAAACTTGAAGTTTTCGGCATTCTTTAGCTCCTAGGGGTTAAATTATCCAACCCTCGTAGTGCTAGAGCAGTTCCAAGGCCAGAGGGACATAGTGGGAGATATAAACTCTAGGGAAACAGCTATCAAGGTATTGTGGATTTGGGTGAAATGGCTGGAATCTGGTCACCCTACACCCTGAGCACTGTGGGGCACCCGAGCGGGTGGTGCTGAGGATCCCCCTCTTGTTTGGGCCCGTCTCACCCCTCCCTCTGTCCCGCGGGCTCAGGTACGTACGGAAGCAGCCCTGTCTCCAGTAGTAGTTGGGCAGGCAGTCGTCACACTTGGGCCCCGTGGCACCTTCTTTGCATTCACAGTAGCCGGTCTCGTTGCAGCGGTCGTGCATGGAGCCGATCTGGTTGCAGTTACATTCTGGCCAAAGAAGACAGGGCTGTTAGTGTCCATCCTGCCTGGGGGCTTTGTGCCCTCTAATGCCCCGAGGGAAGTGTTGGGGTCTTTGGAACAGGCTGGCTGCGTGCTGCGGGAGGGCTGTTACAGCCCAAGGGGCTGGGAGGGCATGGTTTCATGAGAAGGTCCAGCAGTGCAAACAGTCCTGTGTGCAAAGACCACCCCCCACTTTGGAGCTGAGCATCTCCTGGTAGAGCAATGCCTCTGAATCACAGAATCACAGAATTATCTAGGCTGGAAGAGACCCTCGGGATCATCGAGTCCAGCCATCCACCCTACTCTAAAGTTCTCCCCTACACCGTATCCCCCAACACCACATCTAAACGGTTCTTAAACACAGCCAGGGATGGGGACTCAACCCCCTCCCTGGGCAGCCTATTCCAATGCCCAAGCACTCTCTCTTTGAAGAATTGTTTCCTAATGTCCAGTCTAAACCTACCCTGGCGCAACTTGAACCCATTACCCCTTGTCCTGTCATCTGTAACTTGGGAGAAGAGACCGACCCCCGCCTCTCTACACCCTCCTTTCAGGTAGATGTAGAGAGCGATAAGGTCTCCCCTCAGTCTCCTCTTCTCCAGACTGAACAACCCCAGCTCCCTCAGCCTCTCCTCATAAGACTTACTCTCCAGACCCCTCACAAGCTTCGTTGCCCTTCTCTGGACCCACTCCAGCACCTCAATGTCTTTCTTGTGGTGGGGGGCCCCAAAACTGGACACAGTACTCGAGGTGGGGTCTCACCAGTGCCGAGTACAGGGGAAGAATCATGTTAGAAAGATATTATTTGGGGTTTGTTTTCAGGGAAGAGATGCGTCGGTGGGCTGCAAAGACTGTAGTGGCTGCTGTCCTCGGGGACCATGCGGGTGGACACACCACCCTCTAGAAAGGGACTGCACTAAAGCTCACCCCATAGAGCGAGGGCCCACAGGAGCCACCCCATGTCCTAGTGCCGCTGCCCAAGGGCACTGCTCCACTCACCTATGCATACATTCTCGTCATCCAGCTCTGCCGAGCTGTTGCGGTAGAAGCCCAGGCGGCAGTGCTGGCAGTGCTGGCCCCTCGTGTTGTGCTTGCAGCTCACGCAGGTCACCACGTTCAGGAAGTCGATGTAGCTGCAGCGGTTGGAGTGGCCGTAGCACTCGCAGTCTGCGGAGAGGAGGAGAGAGCTGGGGACCTGGGCCAGGAGCATCCTCCCTCATGCTGGGCAGAGGAGAGGAGCCACAAGGCTTTGGAGGAGGCTCCTGCTCTGGCCAAATGCAATGGGCACTGCCAACGCTGGGCTGGGCAGGATGGGTGCACACAGTGGCTGCTGATCTTCACTGACATGGGGGAGATTGGGCTGGAAACCATTGCTCAGAGAGCAGAGTGGGGTCAGGGGGCTCTGTCCCCTGGGGGTGAGGACAGGCAGGATCCAGCCCCCAGCTGTGCCAGGACACAATCTCTTTAAGGAAATGTATAATCTCTGTGGAGGGGAGTCAGGTGTTAATTAAAAAGCTGCCTCATTAATGAGCAGAGCCCAGTTTGGTGCCTGGCTTTGGCTTTGGTGGGGCTGCAGGAGCTGCAATGGAGTTGGGCTGGGGTGCAGAGCCCCTCACTATGGCAAAGAGGGGACTGGCCCATGAGATGGAGCTGGTAGAGGGTGCAGCAGTGTTAGTTGCCTCCAGCGATGGGAAGGCCCTGGACAAAGCTGAAGTGGAGCTGAAGCTGCTGCATGTTCAGGTAAAACCTTGCTGCCTCTGTGGCTTTTTCTCCTGTGTCCCTTCTCAGCGTGCCCCTTGCTGTTGTACCTCCCAAACCAAGGTGCTGGTTGTGAAGTACAGTGATTCTCGGGTTAAAAGTTTAAAATGAGTCTATGCATGGAGGCATGGCTTGTGTGGGGTCCTTCAAAAGGTGGTGGGTACATGTGTGAGGGTTTGAACCAGTTTGCCCAGCACAGGGACGCCTGCAAAGGCTGCTGGTGGGGTGGGAGATGTCTCACCATTGCTTGGCCAAACACTGCTCCTGTCCTCAGGGCTGACCTCTCTCAGCTGTGAGAGCAACCAGCCAGGTTTAATTTGTAGCCAGAGGCATTTGATTACTTGCTTCTTGTGTTTGGTTTTTATTACCATGGCTTGGGGTGGTGACTACCTTGCAGTGTTAGATTCAGGATGCTGGATCTTTCTGAGAGTTTAAAAGTATAATACAGGAGGAGAGGAGGTACTTGTGGCCCTCCTGCCCTGGTCAGGAGGTGTTCCAGCCAGCAGGGGCAGGTGATAACCTAACCAGAGATGGTGTCAGCCAGGTCTGAGCTTCCCCAGCTGTCAGAGAGGAAGAAGGAAGCTTGGAGCTGTGGTTTTGGTCCAAGCTCTAGCATTAAACATTCAAGGATGGCAGAGGGAGGGGATGAAGGTGGAAGGGTGTGGGCTGGCATGCACATGCGACTGGTGGAGGAGACTTGTGTCAATGAAATGAAGACCAGGGAAGATGGATTAGGGCAGAGGTTTCCCCATGGTTCACAGCTGCCTGAGGAGGAACTGAGTTTGCTGTAATCTTGACCTTCTGTGAAATATCTGCCTGTTTGACCAATAACCAAAGAATTTCAGCTCAAATACTTCTGCCTGCTGCAATTTCCAAGTGTTGTTTCACCTTAGGGATGCACTCCTACATACACCTTGACTAGGCAAACCCTCCCCATCTTCTCCATGTTGGAGGCTGCTGGACCACATCACCTGGGTGAAGACTAGGAGCCCTGGAGCACCGTGCTCCCCCCTCTTACCTTTATACGTTTCGATGGGAGCCACTGGGCCAGAGTCTGGTTTGAGCCGGATGAGTTTTGAGCTCTTTGAGGATGCTTAAGAAAAATCAAAGACATGCTTTTTCTCACCGCTTAGCTCCGCTCCACGTCCTACCCTACCACGAGGAGCTCTGGTATGAGAACAATGCCAACCCGAGCCAAGAACACCGCTCTGGCAGCGCCGGCATCTATTTCTGCACCAGACAGCTGGTAGCTGCTAAATTTCTCCTTTTCTTCTCCCCTCCTCAAAGTTTGATGCATGAAAAACCCAACGCGCCGTGCTATTGCGATGTGTAGAGCTGGAGGCTGAGGAACTACTCGCACATTCTCCCGTTACGCTTGTTTGGTGACATGGATCGGGTTATTCAGGCCAAGGATCTACAAGTCTAAACAGCTTAAAAAAAATAATCTACCGGCCATGGCCTCAGTTTGATGGCCAACTGGCACCTAAAAAGCTGCTAGGAGTACATCTAGAAGGACAAATGCTACGGAGGTGGTATCTGGCAGGGGTCCTGCCAAGCACGCGTTGTTCCAGCCCAGCTCAACCCCACCAGCACATACCTGTCTTCTTCCCATGCTTCTTGCCTGCTACGCGCCCTGCTTTGCTCTTCGGAGCTGCTACACAAGACAATAAAATACATCTGAGTGCTGTGGTGAGGAGAGGGCTTCCAGGACCAGTCCAGGATGGCTGGACTGGGGTATTTCATCAGGATAAAGGGCTGCCCTGGCCAGGATGGTGCTTCCTCAGGGCCGTGCAGCCAGCTGGACCCCTGTCCTTCACTGAATGACTGGAGTGCTGGGGATAAAGGCCATCTCTTCCAAATGGAGCTTATGGATTTGGTGCCTGGAGGTTTTTGTGCTCTGGTAACCCCACTACAGGGCAAGGTTGAGCAGCGCTGAGACCCCTCAAGGTGTTTAGAAATGGGTCTTACCAGTGTTTGTAGTGTGTACCAACCCTTGCACTGTGCCAGCCTACCATGGTGCCCAGTCCCTGCTCTGCCACCATGGCTTTCTCCATTCCCTGGTCCCATGGCTGAGCAGGGAACATGGCAGCCTCTCCTCACGGGTGTTCAGCATTGGCCTGGCACAGTATGGAGGCTACCAGGGCCTATTGTTCCTGCCATGAGAGAACTGGGGTAGCCCAGAGAGGGGACGAGCAGCCCCATGGGTCCACAGGGTGCCCAAATCCCCACATCTCTGCAGTGGGTGCTGGGGGTCATATCCCTGTGGAGAAGCCCCCATGGTTGTGCCTGTCCCTCATGAGGAGCTGGCCATGGCTGTGGGGAGGCTCCACAGAGTGTTGGGAGTAGGGTGATCTGCCAATGAGGCTTGGCCCTGTTGGGCCAGCACAGCCAATCAGCCCAATTAGTCTCACCCAATTAATCTTGACAGGGGACAGGTGCATGCCCCTTGACCTGTGGGAAGGAACACCTTCCCAAAGAGCTGAGGTGCTCATGGGCTCTCCTGGGGCCCAGAGAGACCGCTGCAGCCACCCCAGCCCCAACCATGTCTCCATCCAGTCCTATGGATGAGCTGAGGTGGACTCTCCAAGTAGGAGAGCAGATTGTACAATGGTGAGTCATGCCAAGGATGGGTGGGTTGTCACAGCCTAAGAGCATTGGGGGAAAAAACTGCCCTGCTCCATCCTTGGGGATAGGCTTAGCCTTACCTCGAATGTTTTCAGGAGGGTTTGGTGGCTTCGGCTTGGATCCAAATGGCGCTGTGTTTGGTGGGCGCTGAACAGCTTACGGTGGCATCAGTTAGAGAGAACATCAGATTTAATGCAGATCCCCTTCTTGTTTGCTTAAAAAGGTGGCAAAGGGACACTGGAAGCTCTAGGCAAGTATCTAGGGTGGGATGGTTGAGCAACATCTAGTTGTGAATGTGTTGAAGCAGGAACGAGAGACAAAGTCTCCTGGAAGTTGAAGTCTTTAAAAGTGAAGAGAGACAAAAGAAGTTCTCCTATGGGAAGGGCATGGGAACTGCTGGAGGGGTGCTTGTTGGCCTGTGGTCATCACGTTGCCCAAGCATGGAGAGAAGCTGAATCTGCAGACCACTGTCAAGACTCAGGAGCCCCTGTTGTTTGGCAGACTGTCAGCAACACCCGGCATGATGCCCATGGTGTAGGCCTCTCTCTCGTTGCTGTATCCAATACAGCTTTGTCTCTCTGTGAGGCCAGAGGCAGGCCCAAGAACACAATTCCAAAAAACTTCTATTTTGGCACTTTCTGCCCTTCAGTTGAGTATTTCCAAACACTGGGTTGTGTCCTGGGCCCAGCTTCAGCAGTTGTTATGTTCTGCACTGGAGGGGATGCTAATGTCTACGGCTGGAGTGAGCTACAAGCATCTCAGCTGGGAACGGGACTTGAGCACCAACAGGCAACTGCTGAAGCGTGTGTGCTGGTGGGAACCCCAAGGAGGAGAAACTTCAGCCTCAACAGCCAGCGTGAAGCCTCCTAAGTTTCCCACCAGGAGCAGCTCACCTTAGGCAGTCACGCAGGAGACCTGAAGCAAGGAAATACATAAGAAGGCATCTATGCTACAAACGACACAGGCCTATCTATTTACAAAGTTATTCTGCTCTACAAACAGACTCGGGTCTCGGGAGACGATGGGATTTCCATGATCCTCTCTGTTCACCCCAGCAGCAAGCTGTGAACAATCTCTTCTACCACTTACCATCCTCATATTTCATGTATACGACTAAACCCTGAGGCTCAATCCAGCCCCACCAGGCTCCAAGCTGCGTGTTGGGCACAGGCAAACCCCGAGCTTTTTTCCCAGGTGGGAGGAGGAGAGAGATGCATGGAAAGCAGAGATGCAGAACTAGAAACTAAAGCCTTCGCCGAGCGTCGGGAGCTGGTACTCGCTGGCAGGACCCAGCTCAGCCACGTGTCTCCTACCTTCTGCTCCAGGGCCAGCCTTGGCTGGGGGAGAGCCCACTTGCAGGGGAGCAGCAGCCGACAAACTGGTGTAGTCTTGCAGCCATCAAAGGGGAAAGCTGCGTTACTGGGTGTGCTGGGGGGAGCTGGCAACCAGCAAGGAGCTCTGATGGAGGGCCAGAGCTCTGGAGGACAAACCCAACCCAAGCCAACCCAACCCATCCCTGCGTCCCACAAGAAATGCATAGATCACTCATTTGATTTCCCCTCAAACCCTCACCCCCACTGGCTCCGTACCCCTCCCCGTCTCCTCAATATTGGTGACAATCTTCAGGTTTGCTAGAAAACAAACCAAGGAATAAAATTTTAAAAGCTGAATTATTAATTTCAAGCTCCAGTTGGGTAACATAAGGAGGAGGAGGGAAAAAAAATAAAAAAAATCTCTCAATCCTTGCCAAGTTTCAAAGGACAAACCCGAGTAGGAGAGAAATG